CCGAGGTGGGGCACAACCTTAGCACGATGCCTGTTTGCCACAGACTAATGTTTACTCCTATTCTTCCTGTTGGCCCACAGTTAGTTAATGTCAGCATAAGCTCAGAATAGACTCATAATGATGTAATCTTTGCTACTGTGAATGTATGTGCCAGCCACTCATATTCTGCTGAGGATTGATGTCTTGAATACATAGAAATTTGAAAGATATCCTTTCCAGGGCAAACTTCAGCTTCTGATTCAAAAAAGCAATGAATGACACAAGGTGGCTTCGAAAAGTCAGTATGAGAAGGAGAAAAATGATTGTAGGGTGGATGAACTGCCAGTAAAAGTGGACAATATTGTGTGTCCAGACATGAGGGGACCCAATCAGTGAGTATCTTGACATACGGCTTGTTTTGCATCTTTTTGGTGGATAAGAAAAACTACGAGAAACTTCTAGTTCAAAAAAGAAAAATCCCAATAGATAAGATATGTTCTATAAATTTTGAAGTTCTTTACAGACCTTTCCACACGTTGCAACATTTCGCCCATAAATAAAATCACCTCGTCCCCTGCAGTGCACCTGAGGAAAGCCCAGATGTCTGTCAGTCTGTCACACTCAACAGGCTCCAAGAATTCCTTGAGATGAGTAAAACAGCAACGCATTCATGTTGGTTCAGGGAAGGCGATTGAAAGGGTGTGGCTACTGAAACTGCTCATTTAAGGCGAGATGTGCGAAGGTTTTAAACCTCTAAGCAATAAAAAATAAGCAAGTTTCTGTGGCTGGTCATTCACCCAAACCAGAACAATCACACTTAGACATTTTATTCCTGAGTTATACAGACGGAAAGGGAAAACTAGTTTTAAAAAAATTCCTGGTTGGCTCATCAATATTCGGGACTTGGAATTTCCCTCTTGTGGGACAAATGGTTTGTCTTATCTCATATTCTCTTATCTTAAGCAATAACATTTCAGAGGAGATTAATTGTTTGAGTTGCCTTTCAGATCAGATTAGTTTTGAGGGGTTTGAACTCTTTGTGAGGGAAACTAAATACTTCAATATGTCAGTATTGGCTCTGCTTACGTGTATTGCTTGGTTTTCAGTGTTTATGGGCAGTGTCTAAATTGAGCCATTCATCCGATAAGGCTTTTTTAAATTCTGTACTGTAAAATAAATTCAGATACAGCTGATGATGTTGACGTTAGTGTTGAGTGTTGATTTTCTTTGCCGTGTATGAGCTGTGTCTGGTAGAATCCATAGATTAACCAGCTCTAAGTACCTCTCTAAACCGCACGGAGGGATACGATGCCGGACCTGTTATTGGCCTCTCTCCATCGGTAGTTAAATGGGAACAACAGCACTATGTTTTAATAGTTTCAACAGAGCCCCAGGGAAGTTGGAGGGGTTTGTCAATTACAAGGATGTATTATAGAGCGCGACCCAGGCACTTTTCCTCCGCATTCCCCTCTGCCGCATGGTGAGTGAGGGCGCTGATTACAAGGTGATGTTATTCAATGACACAGATCTCGAATCTCTGTTCAAAAGTTCAGATCCATGTGTGGGAGAGCAGGATGGTGTCCGGTGAGTGACAGGGTGGAAAATGTGAAGAATGGCTCGGTGCGACAGAGCTGGTCCGGATCCAGGAGAGAGGGTGGAGAGTGAGGGGGAAAGCTGGCGTCAGCAGCAGATGATGAGCGCAGGAGAGGTCGGCCGGGCCGCCGCCGTTCTCAGGGAAAGGAGAAGCAGGAAGGTTCACATGTGGGCAAGCCTTCCCCCCCTTCTCCCTTCTCCCCGTCTGCAGCAACGGCTTTCGTGACAGCGAAATCTTTCCTGAGTGTTTCTGTAAAAACAAAGTTTTAATCCGGTGCATTTCGAAGTAACTCTTCTGGTATTTCCTGTGGTGGCACATCCAGTCACCGGCAGCTTCCAGTAAGGGGTTTTTTTCATCACCTTCTTGGGTGACCACAGCTCATATGCGTCAAGGGTACATTACCTCAGATTTGCTGCAGACTGGAGCGAACGATCAATACAAAAGTTTCTAAAAGAGGATAAGGGGACTTTTTTACGACTGCTTTCTTTTTTACTTTTTTTTAACCCAGCAAAAATGCATCAACGTCCAATACAATGAGAGAGCATGCCAATAATAGTTTGAGCACGGCAAGACTGAATTAGAGTTCTGTTTTGAGGCTGTCTTACACCCTCTGGCCAAACTGTAAGTCTTACATACAAGACGGCAGTAACTGTGACTTCCTGATTTAAACATCCAGCTAAATTAACAGCAGCACACTTTCTTTTTTCCAAACTGGGTACTTCCAAAGTAACATGCCTCTGAGGGCCCATGAGGATGTTGCAACTTAATGATCCCTGTCTTTCCATTTCAAGGAGTGATTTACAAAGAGACCTTCCCTCACATCAAGACAAAAACAAAGCTATTAGGCATGGAGACCGGTATGCCCTCGTCCCCCCCCCCCCCAGCAAAGATGTGAGAAGCCAATTGAGCTCACCCTGAACCCACCCGGCCCTTTATGACTGTTGGGTTAGAGTCCCACTGCTCGGCCCGATTGGAGTCATACATCACACAGCTACTGCTCCCCCCGAGGGGAGGGGGGCATATTGGTGCCGGGAAAGGACAGCTGGAGGACATCATGGGAGGCTGATAAGTGATGAGAAGGGAAGGCAGGAAAGATGGCCGCTGAAGGCACACAGGGTCAGACAGGAAGTGACCACTCTCACTTAGTTTCCTGTGAGGAAGAATGGGAGGGGTCGTGGGGAGAACACGGGCTATTCACTTCAGGCTATTTTGGCTGGGGGCAGGTATGTTGTATATACAGCAGTGAATTACACAAATAATAGTAGGCAGTGAATAGCGTTTTAGGGTGTATGTTTTGAGAGAAACTTCCTAAATGAGGCCCCAGGACTACAGTGTTGTTATGGTGTCTGGTGTTTCCCAGGGTACCTAATCAGAGGCTCACACAGACCCTGCAAAAGAATGAATTATTAAACATATACCGAAGAAAAATAAATTAAACCAGTAAATTTTCTGGTTGTCCGTTATTCCCACTTATTCCCAGTGTCTCCTGGTTGGAACTAAACAGCTGTTAGGGGTCAAGACTCTTTGAAATGTTAACAAAATCTGGAATTTCAGCAAAAAGAAACTTGCACTCATATATCAAGAAATTTGTGAGACAAAGACGGCTCCAACGAACCTTCAAAAAGAACTGCAGTTGGGGTTTTTTCGCACCAAAGTTTTGAGCTTTAAATTTATGATTCGAAATAAAACATCTCGGCCCCCCACCACCAGCTTTCAGCCTCCAGCCAACAAAAAAAACACTGACCTTCTTTAAAAAAAATAGGCAAAGAAATCGAGGTTTACTTTTCAAACATTTCCAGACAGTCTTTTGTTTAGTTTTTTTTCATCTTCTCTTCTTGGAGAGAAAATAGAAGAAAGCAAGCCGGCGAGCGGCGAGAGAAAGCACAGATGCAACTTGCTGGCTGAGTGAAGACGTGAGAGACACCAGCAGCTGGCTCACCGGGCACTCATCTGTGAGAGTGTGTGTGATTCTCAGCAGCTCCAAATGAAATTAGCCATCAAACCGAGTCCTTTAAAAGCAGTCTGTTGCAGACACTCAAGGTCGGGCCTGCTGATTTCTGCCGACGCACTTTATTCCGTGGTGCTGGCACCAAGCTGTCACAGGTGGGGTCAACACTGTCCTCCATCCCTCCACGTCAGGCCAGCACCCCTTCACTCTCTGTACATGCGCTCTTCCTTCCATTATCATGCCGTCCTCCCGGCATGGGAGTGTGCATTTACGCGTTAAATTAGCCAGGAGGGAAAAGGGGTGGGGGTGGGCGCTTTGTGCTGGAGTGCCTGGATACCCGTGCTTACGTGCGCGGCGGAGATTGATAGGCCGAGGTGTCCTGATTTCCCATGTGACTACAGTAATTGTGTTCTAATGGAGGCGGGAGCTGGGCGGCACATCAGCAAAAGGACAGAAATGCAAAGCTGCCGGCTCAATGTCCTCTTCCTTCCTGTGGTCACTCACAGGGGGAGTGGGGCCTTGTGCGTAGGATGTCAGTGTTTCTGCCCGTTATTCCCTCCAGTGTGTGGTGACATGTTACACCCCGACCCACGTGATCCCGAGACCACATAAACATCTGTCCCCCGCCCGACGCTGGTAGTAAAAGTTTGTGGGTGCGTGTGTATAAAAAGGCAGAGTGATACTTTTAAGATTCTAAGATTCACTGCTTTGTTTTTTTTTTATGTCCACTGTCTCATTCCCTGCTCACGGTCATATCAGTGAAACTAAATCAACCGGCAATTTCATCGATCTCGCGCACAGAGCTCACTTTAGTCGTAATGTTTACAACCACCCCTCCCTTTGAATGGCACAGGCCAACGCTGTTGACATCATCGTGCACGGTTAGAAAAGTCTCCCTCAGGAGCCACAGAAGACATTACCAATGTTAAATAGATCAATTATCCAGATTATGTCATTAGGGTTTTCTTGGCTCGGGCTGTAGATTTTCCACCATTAAAAAACAAACAGGGAGAGAATTAAAAGGGTTAGAGAAAGCAGACAAGTCAAATAATATATATCAACCTGTTTGATATCGAAAGGGTTCATGAAAATGTCAGAGCTTAGCCTGATGAATGTGTTTGGTATGCAGGATATTAGCTAACTATTATTTGACTCTGGGGACTTTCAGGGTGGGCTCTTGATCATCAGATTGCTGAATAGGGAGTTGTGGGTGAACGCCTCAGACTCTTGCATAAACTACTCCTCTCACTGCAGGGAAGTGATGTGGAGGGAAAGGGGGTGGGGGTTGGGGGGGGGATGCTGTGGTCTGCAATAACGTTTAAGGAAGTGGCTGAACAGGTTAGTCTCTGCTAAACACCGCACTGGAAACTGAAGAGTAGCTCAACCGGTCAGGTGGTCTTATTGTTATGGCTGTTCGGTGTCTACTAGTGAGCCACGTTATTAATCTGGATGCTCTGGGGCTCGGCCCATATAGAAATAATGAAGTCCTCCCATTTTAGTTACATCGTAATGAATAGTGCTATAGAGAGGAAACGGAAAAAAACATTTTCATCTTTCTTCTTTCTTCCCTCTGTTCTTCCAGGCACCATGAGACCCGTGCAGAGGAACTTCTATGAGCCCTCGTCCGCCCCCGGCAAAGGCGTGGTGTGGGAGTGGGAGAACGACAGCGGCTCGTGGACGCCCTACGACATGGAGATCTGCGTGACCATTCAGAACGCCTACGAGAAGCAGCACCCGTGGCTGGACCTGACCTCGCTGGGCTTCTGCTACCTCGTCGACTTCAACAGCATGTCTCAGACCAACAGGCAGAGCCAGCGCAAGCGCCGCCTGCGGAGGCGCATGGACCTGGCCTACCCCCTCATCATGGGCTCCATCCCCAAGTCCCAGTCCTGGCCGGTGGGCGCCAGCTCCGGCCAGCCCTGCTCCTGCCAGCAGTGCATCCTGGTCAACAGCACCAGGGCGGCCTCCAACGCCATACTGGCCTCTCAGCGCCGCAAGCTGTACGGCGGGGCGGCGGGGAACCCGGGCGGGGCGGGGACCCTCGCCGTGGTGCGGCAGAGCAACACCTTTGCCGGGACCTCCCTCTGGTCCCCGACATCCGGCTCGGCCAGCGCTAACAACAATAACATAAGCGCGGGAGGCGGGCAGGCCAAGGCCGAACAGGTGCAGTCCCCGCTGTCCCCCGCCAACTTCCCCTGTTCCCCCGCCATGCCGTCCCTCTCGTCCGGCCACGGCCACCACGCTCTCACCATCAACGGGCAGAACAACCTGAACCGGCCCGGCACACAGCGCATTTCCATGGGGGCCGCTCGAGGGACCGTCCCGCCAGGGTAAAGACGCTCGCTAACAACCGGTCTTTCTTTGTGTTTTATCCTCCAGGTTTGTCTGAAATCTCCAGTGGCCTTTCACCGGCCATAACCTGAGCACAAAGCTCAGATTCAGCTGAATTTTCTAGCCCCGCTCCGTGAATGTGAAAAGAGCAACGCCTCCACGTCTGCCTCACAAAGCCTTTGTATGAGTCAGATTGTGTGGTGCTCATTTTTAGTCTGCTCGTTCCTCGCCGCTGATTTATGACTGCTCGCTTTTGCTCGCTGATCAATGGATCTGCGCAAAAAAAAAGCCGTGTCTTGTTTGCGCGACAATCCCGGGAAGGAGCCCTCTGCTCCCGTATCTGTGTCTGCCACGGCTGCCGCTCCATAATGAGCTTATGTCGGCCCCTGTAGGCGTGAAATGCTGCAGCTCTTCTGGATCCTTCTGTTGCCTGCGCTTTGAACTCATTTGCTGCTATCAGACTGCTTGTATTGTCGACGGACGGGAAAACCAGTCCGACGCCACACGTGGAACATCTGAGTGTGTGTTTAGCTGCGGCCCCGTCTCATTGTGTGTCGTGTAGGTGTGTGAGTCATGTGCATGCACTGTCAGACATGTGGAGTGGGTATTGGTGGAGCCGTGGAAACCTATTTGCCACGGAGGCAGAGCTCCACTGGGGAAGAATGAATAATGGATCAAGGAAAAAAATGGGAGCTTCAGCAGAGCGCTCTGACCTCAGAGCAATTCTCTGAGAGAAACCCAGGAAAAGTGTGTGAGATTTGTCACCGATACCTCATTCCCCTATCCTGCTTTCTTCTACCAAAATAAACCCTCTCCTGATCTAATCTGATTCCATTTTGTTCGTGCTGCTCATGGGGAGAGACACACTTACTGGGTGTTTGAATATTGCCGCCCTTCACCCAGGCAATTTCACTCTGCGGCCCAATTTGGGTCAATGAGACATTTCAATTTCTCTCTGCATTTTTTATACCGAAGCTTCCATCTGCCGAAAAATTCCCCGGGCAGAGGTGTGTTGTAACAAAGAGAGGCCCCCTTCCCAAGGGCATTTCCTTGTTTCCCTTTTACGAATTCGGTGAGATCTCAGGTGCGAGGAGCCGAGGATGACATGTGACTTTTTAACCTCTCGGTACTGTGGAGACGGTGAGAGCTAGAGCGAGAGAGGAAGAGAGACGCGGGGGGGGCGGTGAGGCCGCGCGCACTGGTTCCCAGGCGAGTGGCTCGACACACAGGATGGCTGTGGTTAACATACACACAGCAGGACATGAGAGCTCGCAGTCGCACACAAAGGCAAACTCAAGCGTGAACTCCCTCGCAAGCGTTCCCACAAGCGTGCTACAGATAGATAACCCACGCAGAATGTAAATCGCCAGATTTGTTTTTCACACATCCACGCTCTAATGCAACTGTTTGGGGGCAACCCAAAAAAAAAATAGGGTTAAAATTTGGCTTGCGGTGACTTGTTTACCTTTTGAATAAAGACTTATTTTCATATTTGCTTTCAGGTATTTATATCCAGAAGCTGCTTTACAGATAGGATTGACTTTATGCGCGTGTGAGCTAGCAAAAGGTCCGCCGTATGTTTGTGTGGCTGACGGTTCAGATATTGATGTACTTATTGTGTCACGAAGCAACCTGTTGTGGGCTGTGAAGGGGACGGGGACGGGGGGGGGGATGTTGTGTTTTCTAATGCATCTGTGTTGCATGCGCAAATATTAGAAGTGGCACCATCTGCTGGTTTGTGTCAACACATCAGTTTATCCTGTGAGCGGTCAGCCCACTTAACGCCACCTGTGGAGTGGAACGGCGACAGAGGCAGACGGCTTCCACTCTGACGCGTATGCCAGAAGCAGAGCGGCTTATTTTCATTCATGATTCATTTTTCGGACCGTTTTCGCTTGTTGACAGCTTCAGCCGACCAGTTAGAAATCCCATCTAACAACTGGGTCGATTGATTTGATTTGATTTGAATTTGAAGTTCCTGGTTTAAGTGAGTGCTAAGCGGTGACAGTTTATGTAAATGTTTCAGAGTCTCAGATCACACTCTTGTAACAAGATTTCTTGTTATGATAAGATGACGCGGAGAGAGAAGAAATAACACCACTGTAATATCTTCATGTTTCAAAGACAGACCTGTGGTGGAATACACCATTTCACAAGGTGTCTGGGGATTTTTTTTCTTCTTCTTTTTGACTCAAACCACTTCCTCTGCTGTTTAACAAGGTGAAGCCTGCACAGCCATGTTGCAAAGGCAAATGAGAAGTCAGGAGCCAAAAGAAAAGGTGAAGCTGACAGAAAGTGTTTTCAAAGCCGGTGGCTGTGTTTTCCGGGCCGCTCGTGTTCGGAATGCTGCTGCCTGGAGGGTTATGAATGTGCGCTGCTCGTTATTCCTCAGTGAGCCCCCGCTTCACCACTCCGCTCCGGTGCTCCCCTTAGGTTGAAAAGGAATATTGTAACGAATGAATAAACTATGGAAGCGCTCAAGGGCCTTGCTGATGCAATTTTGAAAGCGATGGTGTCATTATTTCTTATTTTCACAGCAATTCAGTTGCATTGTGACATGTGCCCCCCCCACATCCATCCCCACTGAAGAGGTGGATGCCTGTGCCTCCTGCCTTCAGTATTACAATTAAGCACTCGCAAACTTCTCAACCCACCGCCCCACCCCCCACCCCCACCTCCCTCATGCTGTCCTAATGGTGCATAATAAACAGATGAGGAGATTGTAATCCTCTGTCAGCACTTTCTCAGCTAAGCTGAATGTGGAGTCTCTGCTCGGGGAATCACATCTGATCGAGTCCTGAGGGAAAGGTGGAGATTCCCTGGAGACAGAGCGCACGAGGCCGAGCTGATGAAGCTTAGAAGCTAACATGGTCATGATATGGTTCAGTGCGGTTGAGTCGATTTGCCTGAATGAAACTGAAGTGTTAAAACATCAGTAGAGGAAATGAAAAATCTCTGCTTGTATATACTGTATTTATAATGCGGTGTAATTTCTTCCTCTTGAGAATGAAACAACAGGAGCCTCATTACATTACTTATTTGGAATTTTTTAAATCAGTCCATTTTTGTCATCCAGTTTAATCTGAAAATAGTTTTTTTTTTTGTTTTTTTTTGTGCATAGAATTTCAAACTTGTCAGCAGTTTGATCATTTTCTTACATTGTGCACTGGTCGGCCATTAGCCTCCTTCAGCTCTGGATGATAGCAGGATGATAGCAGATTGCACAAGCCAGGATGTTGGTAAAGTGCTTATCTTTCATTTTGTGAACCTTGCGTATTAAATTCAGTCATGTCTCCCTTTTTCCGCTCAATGTAACATCCTAAGTGCCCCGAAATGCTTCCCTTCCCCGAAGAAAGGATTTCCTGATAATTATCATGTTCATTTAACCGCCGGCTCTTTTCCTTGACAACATCAAAAGGCATTCCAGTACAGGAGGACATGTGCGAGAGGTCAGCTCTTTTAAACGGACAAATTCAATGCTATGAATCCATTCTGAGGTGTGCTGTGATGTGAGCTGTGGAAAAGAGTCTATTAAAGACGGCAGACTCTGATGTAACGGTGCGGGGTGAAAGAGCTAAAGAGTAAACTCACACCGGAGAACATCCAGTTTTACACACTGTCAGCACAGTATGATGTGTCTTGTTTCTTCAACCCCAGCGCTGAAGGCACAGCCAGGGTCAGTGCCTCAAGAGGTGCATCTTTCTATATTAAGTAAACAGGTGAGGTAAAAGAGTACAGAGTGAGATGGTGGGTGGCAGCTGCAGACAGGCTTCAGGCTTCGGGCTGATTAAGCGCTCACTGTTGCACAGTAATGCTTTCTGCTCTGCATTGATGTGCCATCACAAACCTAGCAAAGTGTGAACGGCGATTTATTTACAAGATGTGCATCAATCCATCTTTGTGAATATATAGACAATGTAAACAAGTGAGCTTCATGTTTGAGTAGCAGATAAGGATTTCTGCTAACTGCCTTATCAACGTATTTATCATTCTATACGGTCTGCAGCTGGTATTCAGATCTGTGTTAGAGCTAAAAGCAGCGATGAAGATGAAAGGTCTGTCTATTGAATATTAATATATGTTGGAAATCTTTGGTCGTGCCTCTGCGCTGTGTGCTTACAGTTTGGAATCAAATTAAATATGGGGATATGATTAAGGGCTCCAGTGGTTTATGGTCCCTATCCATCTCCTGGTGTAAACTAGTTGTGCGATCACTGCACGCTTTGTGAACGACACAAATTAGAAATGCACTCGTAAAGAGAATTACCTTGTTGTTGGTGTAAATGAAGGAGAAACTCTTTGTTTTTTTGTGCATTTTTTGATAATATCCAGTCGTGCTTGAACTCCTCACTTCTACTTTTGACATTCGTTGTTAACCAAGAGTCCCTGTGCCTTTCATATTGTCATCGGCAGTGAGAGCGAGGCTGCCTTAGATGGTGAAACTGACTGCCCACCTCTGACTCCAGCTGCTATTTTATTGAGTGAAGGTCAGCTGCATGCTGTGAAATATCGAGTGGTTGGTTTTTTGCAACATGATGAAGCGTTCACACATGAGTTCCTCTGTTGCAGTTCTATGTGTCCAGTCATTTGGTGAAGTTCAAGAAAAAAAGTCGGCGGCTCAAATCAGATCAGGTTTTTTCTTCCATTCTTCCATTCATCAGAATAAATGGAACACACCAGGAATCAGCGGATCACGGGTTCCAGTCCTTTGTGAGGTATAATGTGCCTTAATCCAAACCAGAGATGCAATAGGACACAGCAGCTTCTCCTCCTGTCCTCACTTTCATTTTCAGCTCCTGTAGGGAGCTTATTGATGGGCTTCCCCTGGCACAGGAACAGAGGCTCTCGCTCATATCAAAGCAGGCCGTTGGTGTGAATGTGTGCAGCGCTGAGGAGCTGCGGGGCCAAACAACTCAGTGTCTTAACTGTCAGAAAGGGGGAAGATTCTGTGCGCTGATATGCGTGTTTGTGTGTGTGTGTGTGCGGTTGGTAAATTTGGAAACGTGTGACTCAGTGGGAGCAGGTCGATGCTGTGCAGACTGTTTTTGACCTCTTTTGGTCTGTTTGATGTTAAAAACATACGGACAGGTGACAAATTAACCCAGAAAGTGAGAAGATCCCCTGGTTCACCTATGATACTGCAGAAACATGGCTGTCATCCTCTCCGTCTCCCAAAAGAAAGGTACATAGATCAATAGTTGTTTTGAGTGATCACCCATCTTCCTGTTTATAATGTTTCTAACCTTTTAAATGCAGCCCTGTCAGCTTAGCCAATGACACATTGACGCTTTGTATTATTTTTTTTACTCTCAGAACAACTGATAGCAGATGCATTTATTCAAACTACATAGACACCGGGCGGTGAAATCCATCCATGGGTCTGCAGGGTGGCTGGAGCCCATCCCAGTTGTCATTGGTTGAGAGGCGGGATACATCCTGTCCTGGTTTGTCAGTGTAAATGCTTTCACAAGCACAAGTCAGCCAATGACTTCAGCCATCTGGCAACTTGTTCACATTGCAGATGTGTGCGTAGCAAAACATAATATTCATTCTGCATTTCAGTTTCTGAACTTCAGTAATCCATACGGTGAGGAAGTAACATTTAAATTCTGCAGATTCTGTTGTACGATGGGCACGACACCTAACCACTCATATCAGTTACAAAGCAGATCTTCTGTAAATTAAACCCCGGCTTGATAATCCTCAAAACATAGTAAAAAAAAAAGTGAACATTACGCTGTGTTGAATATGAACTCAGACTAGCCACTGAAGTCATAGTCTTTATAAAAAACACTTGTAAAACAAAAGAAAGTTGTGAGTTGTGGACATAAAGACGGTAAATGTGATGGTGTCCTGGCTTCAATTTTGCCATCTTACATGTATGATTAAACTCTGGTATTGGGTAACAAACAGAGCAGAATGAGTACTGACTTTCCTAGTTTTGATGAAACCTGACCTGTTAGGTGTTGTAGACCTCTTTCTATCACTTTCTTGGAAGGAATATTTTCGGATACTTTTCTTCGAGCTTTTGAAAAGAGAGTTACTGAATGGTGTGCTCAAGCAAATGCCCCAGTGTTTTTTTTTGTCCTCAGTGCTCGGCAGATCTTGTCGAATGTGCGAGTCAACTGTCATCTGTGTTTGCAAAAAAATTCCAACCTCTCCAAATGTCACCCTGAATCAGGCTCTGTTGCGGTGCTTTGTGCACGAGTCAGGCCGTCTCATCCCATTGCCGTTGTGTAGCGTTAAAGCACTTGACATTTTAACTTTGGGAGTTGTTTTTTTTTCTGGCATGCCGAGCATGCTGTATTTCTGCTGTAATTTGGGGGCCTCATCGATGGAATAATAGTGCTGTGGTGCATAATTTGAATAGGCTTTTCTTTTTTTGTAAATTCTGATAGAGTTCCAGCCCTCCCTGTGAAGAACCTGACAGGCTCTGGACCAGTGCACCCAGCACTTGCAGGTAAAACCAGATTTGCTCAGCAACATGTTTGGTAGTCACAAAAAGATTAGGATTATTGTTTGGATGTGAGTTAAAAAAAATCTTTTAATTTCTTGTTTGTTTTTTTAAAAATCACTGTTTTTATTACATTTTTTCTACTCTTTTGTGTGTTTGTGTGTATGTGTGTGCTCTGCATATGCGTCAGGTATGACAGGTATCCTGATGTGCGCTGCAGGTCTGCCGGTTTGCTTGACACGAGCTCCAAAGCCTATCCTGCACCCACCACCCATCAACAAGAGCGACATGAAACCCGTGCCGGGGATCAATGGCATGCGTCGCAAAACCAAGAAGAAGCACCTTAAGAGAGGTGAGTTTGTTGGAATCCAGAGAAGAAAATATGACATTTCAGTAAACAGTGAAATGCCCTGTGACTGTATATTTCTATAGCGCGTTGGTGAATAAAGAGGTAATGCACTGAAAAGAAGAATAGATCAACCACGGACATTCAGCACACTGTCTTTGTCTTGCTAAGCTTGGAAACGTGTTCACATATCAGCTGTCTATGAGTCTGTTGTTCAGCATGCAAATGAACCCCCAAATAAACTGTGAAAGGATTCATGACAGTTCGTTACACGCCTACCATTGCGGCTTTTCATCTCTCAGAGGTTTTCTGATGATTACTTTGAAAAGAGTCTTCTTTAAAAAGGCTGATATAAAACGTAATGATGATTGCTGTGTCAGATTAATGAGGAGATACAGTAAGCTGAATGGAAAAAAAACAAAAAATATTTAAGTACACAGTTTTACCAAAGAAAGTTGAGTCTGTTGCGTTGAGATATGGACGTAGTGACAGTTTGGAAGAGTCCGTGTGTTAGTTGGGTGTCAATCTCTGTACAAACCCTGTGTTCTCAGTCAGCCCTGCAAACCTCTCCCTTACTGTACTTACAGACTATTATGTGCTCATGCTTTATGTTTCTCTTTCATCTACACCAGCTTCTTGCTTTTTGCATTCATGAGAGCATAAAAACGGTCCCATGTTTCATTTACTATCTTCTGTGTGGAAACCCTGGATAGAATGATTTGTGAATACAAAAGTTCCTTAGAAAACTACTAACTTGAATGGGGCAAATTTAAGTAAAACTAATTAAACTAATTAGCACACTGTCTTTAAGCAGGTAATATTTACTATAGTTGTTTTACTTTAGTGTAGATTTCTGATGGAAAGAAGCTCCATGATTAAAGTGTGCACAGAAAAAGATCACACAAATAGTGTTTCTTATAAATGAATGAACACAAAGAAATTGGCAATTGGCAAATTGGAGTTGCTCTGATTTGGCTGTATCAGCTGCCACAATGGCACAGCAGCCTCATGATTTCCCTCTGCTACAGATTGATTACATCATCACGTTGTCCTTCTTCTTAGAAGGAGAATTTGCAACCATTAATTAGATACAAGGTGACAGGAGAGATGTATCATAGCTCTTTGCGTTGTCATTCATGGGAGGAAATGGGCTACTGACTCTTTTGTGTGTGCTCCTTGAGATTTATAAAGGACTGATGAAGTAGAGATGAGCAGCATCAGAAGTTCAGTTTTCTACATTTGTATGTTTCTAGGCAAATATTATTTTCAGAATATGAAAATATATTATTATATAATATTAATTATATGATATATAGTTTATAGTTTTCCTTTTAGACACAGTTATTACCAACAAAGTCCCTTTAGATGTAGCCTCTATAAACTACTTTCTAATCCACTGAACCACTGAAGTAACTGTGAGGTCAGTGTGTCACGAGCAATCGACAACATCTGCACAATTTCCACGTGTGAAGAGGAAAGTGAAGCAATCACAAAGATTCTGACTTATCAAGTAGAAATGAACATGTGTGGCAAAGTTCCCAAGAGCCTGGTCAAACAGTTGATGCATTAAAAAGAAACAATAGGCTCATTATCTGAAAAACCAACTGGATTACATCCAACTGTCTTTGATTGCAACCAAACAGGTTTCATATTGGGATCTTCCAGGCTGTGCGTTTGTGTTCGTGGCACAGTTGTTTTGGCCCAGTTAGCTTCCTGTTCAGGCAGCTACAAACAGATTTTAGGTCACACAACACCTAAAAAAGAGGTTAGCATATGATTTTCATGTTGCTGTACTCCAATTATTTCAGAACTGGAAATACAAACCTTTTTTCAAAGCAGAAAACCTTAACTATCATACAGGCATATTAATAAAAGCTGCATTTAACTTTGAGGAAAGTCACTCTGTGTATCTGCCTGTAAAAAAAAAAAAAAATCTTAATTGAAAGAAGCACAAATTATTCAAAACATTTCTCAGTTCTTCTAACTAGTGTTTGGTAAGAGTTTGGTTTAATTAAGTAAGTTGACCTCACTAATTTTCTGATAGGCTGTGACACACAGATGGCACATCCAATCAGCTGCCCAGTATTTTTGACAGTGCCGTCTTCCCATACATTTGCCATATTTCTACTTCCAAGTTGATTAAATTTTCTGTGGAAATACTATACTACTGATTTTACAATTAAATGGCAAATGTGTGCCTTTTCTCCTTGCTCTTCTTCTGCTTGGCCTGGTTGCTTCAGTTTGGCTGCCTGTTTGGGCTGCTGTGCTTGCCTCTGCTCACTGGCTGTCCCTCAAATGAGCAAACAAAGGCTCATGAGGAAAAGAGGTTGCCTGTAAGCGCATTAGGGGAGTAAGCTGTGGGGGTGCTCTCAGCCATGGTAGCTGGTTGCATACAGGGATTATTTTGGAGAGTAGGCAATGGTATTTTGTTATATATCAGTTTGAAGGTACCCTTGGTGATCATGTTAAGTGTATACACATGTTTTTTTGCCCTCTGCATGATGATGTGGGGCTGTCTGTGGAGCTATCTTCCCAGAATATCTTCTGTTTATGTCAGTTTGTGGCTAGTTTTTCTCCGTTTGTTTATGTCAATCGTCATCTTATCTCTCTTTTTCACGACAAGGAAAAAACCCAGAGGATGTGGTGCGAAGATACACAGAGAAGATTAAAGTTGTGCCAGATGAGGTAAGGAAAAGACACAAAATGAATGCAAGCACAGAAGACTTGCCCCGAGTTGCACAAAAAGATACAATCTGCCACCAATCTGTCCCAAACGCAAGTGCATGCGCTCTGAAAACACACAGTCATGTGCATGCGAAATGTCTTGTAGATATAAAAACTATTTTGGTTGACTATTCCAGGACTGTACCATCTGCATGGAGAGGCTCGTAATGTCATCAGGCTATGAAGGCGTCCTGCAGTATAAAGGCATCAAGCCAGAGCTGGTGGGAAAACTTGGCAAGTGTGGTCATATGTACCATCTGTTGTGCCTGGTGGCCATGTACAACAATGGCAATAAGGTGGGTAAAAGCTTGAGAGCCAGACGTTGCTGTGATGTCAGTCTAAGCTCAAATCATGAAGTGGTGATGTCTTACAGTTTAGCCGGGTTGTGTGGGACTAGCAGATGATCAGGCATCAGTTGTGTTGCTGGCTGATGGTTATCTTGCATACTCGCTTCTGATCTGTAATACCAGCATTGTACTTTCTGGAGTCTCTTTAAATCCTGTCTCCTTCATTTTGAATGCATAAAATCGATAGAATTAGCATTTTCTATCCCAAAATTTGAAATGTACATTTTAGAAGACTATTATTAAAAAGACAAAATCACAAAAAACCCATGTTGTACTGAGTTATAGAACAAAGATTTGGTGTGGTGGAAGAGCAGAATCGTTTAGTGTCATCAGTACAAAACTTTACACTTGCATTTCAACATTTATATGACTGAACCAAGAATTGATTTTGGCTGCAACCCTTCCTCTTAAGAAGGATCGAAGTGTTCTTCCTGCATGGATTAACATCTACCTGGTGGATGATTTTAGAAAACAAAGGACACTGTGTACTGACAGCTTGATATAGTTAATCCTTGGGAGGCATTGGGGCTTTTGGTCTGAAGGCAAAAGCAAAATAAATACGGCCTGTTCTCCCAAAAAAACTTACTGCGCTCTTCTGCGGCTTAATGCTTTCTTATGTTCACCAGCTACTTGCTAATGTTGCCTATCGGCTGATTAGTGCAGTGCTTATAGCTGTCTGATTATGAGAACAGCTTCCTTCTGCTGCTAAAAACAGCCCTGTGAGAATAGTGGTGAGACTGAGCCAAAGCAGTAAAGCTGTGGCTCCACAATTTCCATAAACAGGGACAAAATTCACCAAAGCCCTGTAAAGCCTGCAGAGTCAGGTGTTGATCATGGCTTGTTTCACCACTAAGAGCAATCCCTTTCATGCACACCTTCCCGACTGACTTGACAGAAAATAACTAAATATTATATAAAAGAATATTTTAAAACAAGGTTTTGACAATACAATCATGCAATGAGTCAGAAATCTGTATATGAGCAATGATACATGTGGTGTAAAGGGTTAAAGACATTATTATTGTTAGTAGCAGCGTCTCACTCTTAAACTGCTTAAATGTTCAAAACTAGGATGGCAGTCTTCAATGCCCAACATGCAAAACCATCTATGGGGAGAAAACAGGCACCCAGCCGCCTGGGAAGATGGAGTACCATGTCATTCCCCACTGCCTGCCCGGCTACCCAGACTCCAAAAGCATTCGCATTGTCTATGACATTCCTGCAGGCATCCAGGTGAGAACTGTTTCACTCCATTTATGTCCTCATCAACTGTCTTTTGACTAAATCTGCAAACTCTCCACAACAGCCGTTCCGCTTAGGCTTGATGGATAGATGCTCGTACAGAGAGGTGACGTGTTGGGGCTCTTTGAGATCAGTTTGTGAGAGAGTCAGACAGTTTACGTCTTGAAAGAGGTGGTGCTATTCCCCAAAAGAGCTCATCTTCTTGCTTGTTGTTTTATCTTTCAGCACAGACAGTACTCGGTGTATGTATGGGTAGTTTGAGAGGATAGAGGGACACATTTTATCCAATGGACTCATTGTACTATCCTTTTTTTTCCAGCAGCAGAGCAGGCTTAGTGTCTCTGGGGTTTGAATAGTGGATGAATCGTGGCCATTCGTTGTCGGTACAGCTGCGTGTGCATCCACACAGACTGCACACTGGAGGTGTGCCGCCGCTTTGTCCCAACTCACTCCACAGCCCACACAATCTGTCAGGGTTCAATATTTTAAGTGTAAATGCACTCTATATACAAAATCAGCACAATATCATGTCATTAGAAAAAGGGTGTTTATCCCGTTTGTGCTCTGTGTGCTTAGTTGTGGCCGAATGAACGCGGAAAAGACATCCAGTAGTAGCTGTTTGGTGTTAACATGGTTTTAAAGTGTAATGGGAATGCGTAAGATATCACTGGAGACTAGCTGTCCGTCTGCTTTAATCAAGCTGATAATACAGATTTTTATATGCACGATGAACTTATAACAGTCTTGCTAGAATAAAAGGATTCCTGCCTATTTCTAGTTGCATTAATGGACCCTTTAACTAAGAGCAGTTGTACGTAATATTGACGGTGAAGCTTGTCCTTTGAGGGTCGCTGACATTTTCCACACATCAAAGCTCAGTTTTGAGATGAGAAAATTCAATCATTCGTCTGTTTTCACCAGACCAATGAGCACCCCAACCCTGGGAAGAAGTTCAGTGCGAGAGGGTTTCCTCGCCACTGCTACCTCCCTGACAACGACAAAGGCAGGAAGGTGAGCTCTGACGCAGATTTCGGACCTTGGTGATCCCGCATCTGTTTTTCTCTCTTGTGATTGTTAACCAGGCCTCCCGTCCCCTGTGTGTGTGTGTGTGTGTGTGTGTGTGTCCAGGTCCTGAAGCTGCTGATCATGGCCTGGGACCGCCGCCTCATCTTCACCATCGGCACGTCCAGCACCACGGGGGAGTCGGACACGGTGGTGTGGAACGAGATTCACCACAAGACAGAATTCGGCTCCAACCTGACCGGCCACGGCTACCCAGACCTCAACTACTTGGACAACGTTTTGACAGAGCTGTCAGCCCAGGGGGTCGGCGAGGACAACCTGAAGGAATGATGTCCAGCCGTCACTCACAGAGCTGGGACGCCGCACGATGGGCCAACATGCAATTTACAACCCCGAAAATATCCTTCAGAAGTGGTGGGATGAGATAAATGGACGTAGAAATAAATGGTTATTACTTAGGTCTTTGATTATATAACCTAAAATCTCTCCCCTGCCGTCTTTTGATCCATGCCTCGAGCATGCTGTATCCCTGGCAAAGTCTCTAATAGGGTTACGGATATAAGGAGATTTTTATATTGATGCTGGAAGCTCCTAGCAAATTGTGTTCAACCCCTTTTAAATTTAATCCAGTGCTGCTTCTCTGCCTTTGGGGTTAAATGCAGAGAGGCTGAACCATACGTACTTGCAAATGCTGAACTTTTGAATGCATGACCCAGACTAACGCTGCAAATGAATGTTGGGTTCAAGTCTGCAATAAGGTGAGGTGTTCCTTGATATTCTGACTATATGTGTAAGAGAATCTCATCTTCACAAACTGTTTCGGTTTGTTATTTGCTTTCACTTTTGAATTATTCACCGGCCACATGTTGCGCAAAAATGGTTGTGCAGATTTAAAGAACGGTTCCGGGCTTTTAAGAGGTCATTAAAGGCATCCCTGACATTTTCAGCCTTTTACACAACAGGTAGCTTAATCTGTAAATTGAAAACGCGAAGCTAATTACTACAATATGAGTTTTTCTGTTTCAAATGTATTTTGTATGATTAATTTAGTGGACTATCCATGAGACGCGAAATGAGATGGAGCGTGCTTTCGTCGGTGGCTCGTTTCGGGGCGTTTTGACTCGAGGTGTGCAGGCTGGGAGGCGGGATGTGCACTCGTGCTCCAAGGTTAAACTCATTTGTTCTGTTGGCACACCGACGACTCTGACCTCTCTGAATGTAAAGCCCGCATTATTATTCACCCTGTTGGAGCAATCCCAGGCTTTGGCGCGATCCATCACGCCGCCCCTTACGTGAAGGGTGAGTGTGCAGTTGCTCGCCGTGAGGCATTGCGATGCTGGCTTTAAGTCCTTGAGGAGAAGGCAAACGCGCGGACAGACGTTTCTCTCCCAGACACCAACAGCGTTCCCGTGGAGATCCATCCTGGGTGGCACACCTACTCGCCTGCAATCTACAAGTCTCTTGTGAGTTTGTTTGCTTTTAGGCTGTTTATCAGGCTCAGCGTCCCGCACAGGGAGCAGTGAAACATCTCATTCCACGCGTGAGCTCACTTAGAGTTATTAGGGCCGATCCAGATCTATAACTTGGACCCCCGGCCCCCCCCCTCTTCTCCTCCTCTGCTGTAGAGTGCTTCATTCTAGGAGGCATGCAAATATTGGTCTACTACGTCATAGGATGGGAGCTATTTTTTACAAGGCTCTCGTCTATTCCCATTGATGTCATGCCCGTGAGCTAAAGACTCTCTGAAGGTCCTTGTGATGTTTCTTTTGCTCTGAGATTAAAGTGAACCCAAATGGTGCATAAATCTCCATGAGTGTATCTGATCCATTTTAATGAGCAGAGGTGTTGGTGTTTATTGGTGGGCACCCAGCTGTGGGGTGAATCATAGTCTTCCATAGCACTTTGAGGCAACTTCTGTTGTTTACTCAGTCCTTTTGTTTCTCAGAAAATGTCTTAAATTAGCGTTTAATCCGTCTTTTTCTAAGTTGATTATAAACTGGCTTTCGATGCTTTAAGATATATATACAAACACACACGCGCAAACTTGTGAGTGTGTGCGTGTGAGACAGAGAGTGATATACATTTGCAGATGTTATATACCTTTAACTTCAAGCTCACTTTGAGTCGTTGGTGTAACTTTAGTTTATTTTTATACTCTTCTATATATATAAAATAGAATGACCGGCCCACATATTTATACACAGGCACATATTAACATAAATACATGAAATCTGGCAAGAGATGTCAGTTTGTCAGGGACTGAAACATATATGACTTGTTATGGATGTCTTATATTACAAGTAGTCTTCGCGTATGCTGTTGTTACCTTAATGTAGACTTTGTGTAGTTGATCCGCTGTGGGGCACAAATAAATACAGTAATTGTGTCTTTATTATTGGTGGATGAGCTTTAGCAGCATGAAGATGGTTGTTCCCTCCCGATGGGCCATTTCTGTTTTTCTACTTGTCCAAAACAATAGGAGGGGAATTTGAAAAGGAGCCGGGGGTAAACGGAACATATTCTTAGAGTTTGTTTTTAGCATGTTGAATCAAAAGATTGACGAGGCTTACTTTACATGTCCCTCATAAATAAGTGAAACAAGGTTTCTGAGCAAAACAAATTCCAACCCCAATTCCAAAGAAGTGTCCACTCTGTAAAATTGAAATGAAAATACAATGTAAAGGTTTACAGTTTTCATATAAATGGCACTTAATTCACACAAAAAAAACATAATTTGTTCAAATAGACAATATTGACTAATTTTGCGTTTGATGACTGCAAATCTAAAAAATGTCAGGACAGGGGCAAGAAAAGGCCTGGAAAGTAAGCTTAAAAAATAATTTTCAGGATCTGTGAAAAAGAGTCAGCAAATCATGAAGAATTTAAGATAATGCTCCTCAAAATGAAAATGCAAAGACAATAAAGAGAATATTATCTACAAGAAAACATGATCTTTCGGCCTATATGGGCGTGATTCTATCATGGCAATCACTGCAGGGGTTCATTACAGTACACTCAGCCTCTGTTGACAGGAACAGGAATATTTCTATGATGTCTAAGAAGCACTAACGCTGTTAGTGCAATATTTTTGCTTAAAATCTGAACAGGAGAATGTAATGAGCTGCCGGGATTCACGTGACTCTGCTCCACCCCCCCACCACCCCCAGCTTTTACAGCACGCGTCAGCTCATTGTTCAGCCTGAAAGTTTCACTGTTTCAGGCAGTAGGCACAGCGTGGAAGTGTTTGTGGGGGAATGGGAAAAACTCTAGAGGCCAAAATTATAAAGCAGCGGCTTCAGTCCCTCTTGTCTGTTTCAATAGAATGCGTTCAGCCGCAGTACTGAATAGTAGGTCAGCCCTGTTGGTGGCAGCAGCAGGCAGGCAATACACGACACCTAAAGTCATGCACAAAAAGCTGACGGGAGATGAGCTCGAGTGTGTATTCTGAATGCAAAATTAGTTGTCGTGTAGTTGAGTTTAGTGCAGTTAATTGTTACATAAAATCAAGATGCCTGAAAACCTTGCCTGTTCCCAGGACCAAATAAGTAAGTACTGTAAATAAGTGAGTACTGTATTTATTAAAGTTTATTGGTGTGTTTAAGCTAACCCTCCGAACCAGGTTTTTCTCCAGAGGCCCGATGTCCTGCTTTTTATGTTGCATCGCATTTTGAATTTCAACTTGCTGGTACACAAGCTAAAACAAATTACTAAAAGTACACAAGTGGCCCAAGCTACAAAGGACTGTCACTGGCCTTTCACAGTTCAAGTTTTCTCTCCCACACCTTTTCGACGCCCTTTAAATGAATTGACAACAAGGGGGGAAGCTTGTAATCGTATCAGGGAATTATTTTCCATGTGGAGTCAAGATTCATTAACTAGAGGAATCCAAATATACGCCTCTTTGACTTTTTCTTTCCACAGGTTAGGAGGAATCATAGGATGGACGAGGAAGGGCCCTGGAATTGTATTTTGTCAGATAAACAAAGAGGGAGGTGGTTTTTATGCAATTTACTATTTTTAAGATCTAAGAAATGGTTTCTGTGTAGCAGAGAGGCTGACTTCTGGTTGAAACCACTAAGGACGTTTTCTTTATGGGGTGCCTACCTCCAGGTTTCTAAACAAAAAGGTTGCAATCCGTGGATGATAACATGTATTTGAAAACATATATTTTTGATGTCTTTTTTTAATGATTGCCTCTCGAAGAACTCGTACATGATATTACTGTATTACTATCATTATTGATATTATTAAGATTCATTTCATACTGTCACTTTTGCTTAGAAGTTGGACAAAGTTGGACAATGAGACCACTTTAAAGTTTTGCCAGTCGTACTCTCTTGAGGTGTCCACTGCAAACGCTTGAACTGATACTTTAGCATATAGTGTGGATATACTGTTCGTCTGTGTCTGTCTGTGGGAATGTGTTTGAGAGTGTGCCAAGTGGGCGTCTCGTACGCCAAGCTTCGGTCCATGTCCTTTAAAGATGCAGTAATGTTCTCCTAGAGGTGCATGTCAACCAAACTGTGAGCAAGTGTCTTGACAATGCATAGCTCTATGTGTGTGGAAGCTCTATGTGTCAGAAGAAAAAATGTCACCCTGTTTTTATTTTCTGTTTTTTTTCGTTTAGTTTTTTTTGCCACTGTGGTTTTGCAGCTTAGTCCAGTTAGAAAGATCTTCTTTCCTCTGTTGGCTTTGATTTCCGTAGATGGGGACGGGACAGCGCTTGGCTTCTCTCCCCGCTCTTCAGGCGTCATGTAAAACATCTGGATGTTTTGCTTTTTAAGTGCCCATTTGACTTATCTTTTTTTATTATCATGATTTAGGTGATTTATCTTCAGCTTTGTGACGTAATCTAAAAGCAAGATATTGAGAGACATTGAACTATAAAGGGCTTCTTAATCAATCAGTCTTTATTGAATTGTGATGACTTTGTTGCATGTTTGTGTGTTTTCTTGTGAAAATAAAAAATAAATAAATATGCCCTGGATGGGGCTATTTTGTTTGGCATTTTGTCACCTCGGCTCTGCCTCATTTTTTAATTCCACGTCTGTGATTTGTCCTCCTCCGTTTTAGCCCCGGCGTTTCCTGTTCCCCAGGCAGCTCTGTGCTCTGCTCCTTGTTAATGTGGATATAAACGAGCTTTGCTGGAGCGATGGAGTGCAGCAGAACCAGTTCGCACTGGCAGTAAATTTGCTTTACGGTCACTTTCTGTCTCCGGCTGCTATGTGTCGGGCTGTGACGAGCCGTTGGGGTTGATGCATACTAATGCGGGGCAGGAGATCTGTTGAAGCCTGGGATGATTCAGCTCTCTGTTCAGCACCACCCTTCACCGGCCCTGACCCGGCAGCCATGGGGACCGTCTCCTTCTCACGTTAGCAACCAAACCTCCCCGTCTCCTTTTTTTTTGTCCACCTCTCATGCCTAATGAGGGTGCCAGCAGGGAGACTGCTGCATCATTGCAGGTAGGTCTGCTCTCATTAGCATTTAAATAAGGCCGGGAGGTGGAATGTTTATGTGGCAGAATTCAACATTAGATTCTGACACTTGTTTTATTGTAAAGGATAACTGTGATTTGATTAAATTATCCATTTGAAGAGCAGGGTTGTGTGGTAACCATAAGCATGCCAGGATCTGTCATACCATGAATGAACAAATTAATGCACTAACCAGGATACAAATATAAAGTGTTGAATTTTTCTGCAGCACAAGTTTGACAGCAGACTTTTTTGAAATATGAATTTATTGAATAATACAGCAGTGATCAAAGTTACAGTATGCCTGCAGAAAAACATGACTGTGAATTTTAAATGGTTGACTGTCAGTGTCTTTTCTTAAGAGCCATGATTCTTGTTTCTTGATTCTTGTTCTGAGGACTGGCTACAATGTCATGAATTTTCGAAAGCTGCGAATTCAGTTGCAGTTGAATACAAAGTTACATTACAGTTAAATTACAGTTTATATTATCTAAGTCAGTTGACGATTAACCAATCTGCAAAAAAGCTTCAGATTTAGGATCAATTAAATTAATCAAAAACTGGGTTGAATTTGGTGTGCAGTTCTCCTTCATCTAAGGTTTTTGCACTCGCATGCTTTTTTTTTAACACTTTTGCATGCCACTGTGTACATTTAGCAATGTAGAGTATGAGTTACCATGTCTGGTATGTGCATCAATATGTTCTAGCCTTAGGCTGGATGAATGCTGGAGAGTATCTCTGGGAAAAGATTTACAACATGTATTTGGATTTTTTTTTTTTTTTGTAGCTTCAAAAACAAATTTGGCATCTAAAACATATCCTGACACTTGTGAGTCAGGTAAATATTACCCATATAACTTTAAGAATGGCTACAACAAGTGTAAGGACATTTTTAAAAACGCAATGTACAACAAAACGGCAATTTGAATAGCACCAAACAAAAGCATAGCATTTTGTATAAAGGAACCAACCAAAGCAACATATAAGTCTGTAATATTAATCTTGAACACTGGACAGATAATTTTACTGAGGCATGTGCATCACCAGTTCATAATGTCATGGAGGAATAGCATGTAATAGTAATGTCACTGCTACATTGTTGCAATAGTGATAAATTGCCTCAATAAAAGTACAAAACACTTAAAGTAGTAGTATACAAATACCTCACATTCAGGTACGTTAGATTATACGAAGACAAGCTACTTGCATAAAAATGTTTGACTGTACAGTATCTTAAAATAGAAAAGCTTCTTTTCACATTTCATGAGTGGATGCAGGCCATGCAACAGATTGCTTGTTATCTACAGAAAAAAGATCAAGACAGATCATGCTTCAAAGTCCCTCGCCCCCATTTATCATCAAGTATCATAATCTCCCCCTGGCGCTGTTGTCGGTGGCACTCGGAGAATACAAAAAGATTAGAAGCAGCAGAATCTTTGCTCACACTATTTGGAAATGTACTAAAAGGGCGGAGGAAGTTGAACCATGTGGCTTTTTTCCACCTCCACAACAATTAGGCTATTGGTACGCTCTCATATTTGTGCCCCTCCACCCCTACCGTCACCAAAACCCTTCGGGCATTAGTAGATGCCGGGCCGTGTGTAGTCTAGGGATTCAGAATGACACTGGCATTGTCCTCTTTTTCTCTGTGCTGGAAGGCGGCGTGAGCGTGCTCCAGATCCTCTATCACCACCAACAGCCGAGCAGCAAGACTTTGACCTGGCTTCATGAGCTGAGCGTTGCATTCAGCACCATCTGCAATTAGTTTTTTAAAGACAGAATATTTTAATGTTCAACACTCTAAAATCTACAGGACAATATACAATCCCACACACTGATAAAAGGACGTCTGTGGTACAGCTTTGTCTCACCTGGGTGAATGTCAGTGTTGACCCTCGTTTCGTTTTTGCTAGACGTTTGATCGGAGTCTGGCATCTCCACATATTTTTTCCTGCGGCACCAGTCACAATTTTGTCACGTTATCACAGCCATTTCACTCAAGGCTGTTCTGCCTCTCCATGCAGTCACAGTTAAATGTATGATTCACTGATAGGCCAGGAAGCGGCAGCCGCACAACAGGCCACTGCTGTGCTGCAACATAGACCTCTAGTGCTAAGCTGATGAACTGCACTCTGAGTCAAGTAGTTGCAGTAACTGACCTGAGTTTGTCCCTGCCCTGGAGAAGTTGCTTGTATATCATTTGAGTTTCTACGTCAGGATCCAGCGGGTCACTCCAGTCACCCAGAGTAACAGCTGAGTGAGTTCTGCTGCATCCTGTAACTAAGACACAGACCTTTATTGAACAATGGTCCAAAGGTACACGCACAAGGAAGCATATGGTTTATATGGACAAGATCAAGATTTCACACAGTGCTCAGTATGAATAGCTGTTATTGCAATTACGCTACAAGTTCATCACGCTCTAACCTACAGGAAAGATATGTCACATAAAAGAATCATCAATAAAATTACAGTCATTTGTCATTTCTAGGCTAAATGTAATCGATATGGGAATATTATCATCATATGAACTTGTTCTTTACTGAACAAAGATGAGCGTTTCACCATTAAATATGGATGATCCTGAACTTATTCACTCTATGTGGAGCCAGCTTTAAGTTAGTGCAAAGCACTGAGATTAAAACAAGGAAACTAGAACACTAACATTCAGCACAGTTTATGCTCTGAGATTCTGTTTGTTCTTGACTATACTTCCAGTGGTTTGACGTTCTTTCAGTGCATTTCCATTTAGCCTCTGAAATGATCCGGAAGAAATGGGTAGATAATAGCATCACATTCTGAGTAATCACTGAGGCTCATGCAGCATTGAAATTAATAATAGCAGGATTACCAGCGCGGTCCGACTGCAGGCAGCAGGTCCATTTGCCACTGCGATGAGCCCCCGGGTGGAAAGAGGGCAGCATGCGCTCATTGTAGATACTGACTTTCCTGATCGCAGACAGCCACTGGTTCAGCTCATTCACATGCTGCTTGACCATCGCCGATTAGAGGTCAGCAAAAAGAAGAAACGTGACAGTGAAATGAAATAAATGCAGCTTCTATGCATCTTATTTGGTAAAAACATGCCAAACTCTCAGCAAAACAAAGGATCAAAGCTACTGATTGAAAATAACCGGCCGTGCACTTTGTTGGTGACTGGTTGGTGTTTGTACCTACACACCTTGCACTGGATGTACATGGTGTGCAGCTGTCCGTCGTTGTCCTGAGTGATGACCTGCATTACATTCTGCTGCTGAAAGGCATTTTCATCCACCCTCTCCACTGCGCACACACACTGAATCGGGATTGAGGAGCGCACCTGCAACAATTCACATTGCAAATTAACACACAAGTATGCACATGCCAGTAATGATCCATCACGCTTTTCGCCTACGGCAATTCACTGTGTAGTTTATGTGAAATAAGGCTGACACTTGATCACAGAGTAAATTAATGAAGCAGTTGATGATAAAGAAATATTTTGCACATATTAAGCTATAAAAAAAAGGAAGTGAAGATGAGACCACTGGGGCAGCAAAGGATACTTTTAAGTGTAAATCAGCCACTTCCGATGGGAGCTTGTCTCTCTGAGACTGAAGTGCTTCAACATGGAGGAAAGGGGCCAGGACATTGTCTAGAATCTGATTTGCAATGTTAGCATGAATATCCACGGCTTTCAATTAACCCTCGCCTTTATTCCAGTCTCACAAAGCAGGGGACTCACTCAAAGAGAGAGCTTTTTATTAGGAGAGATTGGACTGCCCTGTCTCCTTTACTGTTTTTGGATGCTGAATGAGAGGAGATCATTATAACAACGTTAGGTTCCACATGGTAATAACACTAATGATGATCTCACAAGAAGGCCAACACAAATACATTAAAGCAGCCTGGGGATGACCAAAATGTTTCCTCATTGTGTGGGCCATGCTGATAAATGTCCATCAAAGGGCACACACGGAGATGAATTCATCATAAGATTGCATATCAGTTTATAAAAATGAATAATTCAGCTTCACGTGACTTTGATCTGGCAGAGGAGTAATTATGTTTTTGCAGTTGTTAATAGATCCCTCTATCATAATAGAAGACAGATTAAATAACCTTGTTTTGTGACATGATGAAAAAGAAAGCATGACCCTATCTGGTTACCGAAATGGCTCGTAAAGTTGATGCTCCAATTCTAGCAGAATACAAACTACAGCCCTCTTGTTCAATACCAACCTGCCATTCAGAGGTCTTGGCATAAGACAGTGTCTCGCTAGTCAACCAGAAGTAGCGTTTTTTAAAGGCAAAGCGGGAGAGCAGCTGGGGTCCCTCTGCTTTGTGTTTGTGGAGGTACCCCTCCTTAACAGTGACTGAAGGCATGAACACAGCCCTCTGAGGCACCTCGGACACTGCAGGGAGAAGGGGAGATGAGATGTAAAGAAAAACTGTACCATACTGTTAAAAATATTAATCAAGACACAAGGTGGTGCTGTGACGATAAACAAACAGCATGTACTTATTAGTTTAGAGGCTGTCTTTATTTTGAGAGCTACATTGCCGCTCGCGGCTGAATAACTTCCCATTGCCACGAGGTCAGCATTAAAGAGGAATATTAAGAATCCAGATCTGCACAACAAATCCAACTGAAGTGCACTGAATGTCAAACGGGCCTTTAAGAGAAAAGAGTGGCTGTGATGTGAAGAACAAGGCAGAAACATGATATGTCAGAGGTGTAACGTGTTTCACAGCAGCCTCGATGACAGCAAGAAAGCAGCCAAGATTCGTTGGGTTACCGGTGTGGTGTGTTTAGGCGTGTGCAGCTTCACACTCCAGCTCCCTGCCAGCTCATTAACAACATCATCTCTTTCCGAGACCTTCAGCTGGTTATGAATATTTTGCTACCGTGTGTGTATACTTAACAGTATTTTTTCACTTTATCCTGATATTAGCTTGAGCCTGTCATGCTGGCGGTTTACCAGTGGTTGGTTGGCTAAATAGCGTGACACAGTTTAGTTCAGTGGTGTATCGGTGTCAGCCTTACCGATGTCATGATCTATGTCAATCAGCTTATCCAAGAAGTCCTTGACAGAAGCCACACTGCGAAGGATGATAGGATGAAGTGGTGCCATCCACTGCTCCTTTCCATGGCCCAGCTGAAGGCCCAAGTTGCCAACACTTTGTAGTGCCTGGTGACCGTAAAGATACAGTATTTGCTCCTGGCTCACATCTTTGGTCACATTAAATCGCTGCTGACTGACAGCAGATCTCAAAGTCAAAGATCAAAAGGGGCTATGAGGCCAAGCATGCTGTGAGGCCCTTTGTCCAGCCCACACCTGGCCTAGGGAGAGGAGGAAGTCCTTCTTTACCGCCCTCTCTGATGCTCAGCTTTGAACCACAGTCTGGTTGCAGCACACATAGAAGTAAAAATAGCTTGTTCCCTGTTTCTGAAAAAAAGACCCATGGCAACAGTATTTCAGCACCATGGACAGCAACCACAAAAGCCACATGTGGGAGGGGAACAAGGTTTCACTGGATTCCAACGTGTAATCATGTGGCTCCTATTTTTTATTACATCAAGGGGGTTGAATTTTAGACACTTGGGGGGCAACTTAAGTTAAAACCATGGCTGGATACATTTATCATAAGTGGTTAGGAAGTACTTTTTTCATTAGTGTACAAATCTTTTTTTAAATTAACCTTTTTTCAGAACGTGTGAAGTGGTTGCTAAAACAACTGGAGATGTGTCTTTCGATACCTTGTCAGAACGTTGCTTGTCACTTAGATTATGACGTTAACCTCATCATGAAAAATATGTTTGATATTTTTAATACAAGATTGTATATAGCTTTGGAAGTTTTACAGTCTTTAGTTGCATATAGAGCCATACCTGTCAAGATGGCATGAACATCATATTTTGGATGTTGTTTCGTGTGTATGTGGTTTCAGTTTACTTTTGACATTTTTTCCTCACTTAAGTGACTATTTTAGGCTTGCATGAATTAAGAAACAAGTTTAGAGTCCTACCTTAGCCAGTAGTAACAGTGTTCTGCTTGTCCGTGTGTCAGCATGCTGGTCTCTCAGCTGGAACAGTTTAGGCGTGAGGATGGCAGGTGCAAAAAAACGCAGGAAGAAGAACCCACTGATGGCCAAGTACTTTACATCCTGGTTGGTAAGGTAAGTTTGATAGAGTGTTTAATGAATAGGAGATAGAGATTGATCATTTAAATCTAATTCAAATGTTTTTCCCGCTTATTCTCTCCTCCAGACAAACCTCATGCTCCGGCTCAGTGAATTGCTCCTCTACTCTTTTGTGCAGCTGTTTGAAGGCCACTCTCATGACAGGAGGACACTGATCAACTGAGCCGACAATTGATTCGATGATGCTGGTTAAATAGCTCTGCAGCAGCTCCACGCTGCTGTCCCGTACCTCAGCCTCAGACACGGCACCCTTAAATGAAATGCGCCTGAAAAGACAAAGAAACAATTGGTAAACGGCTCAATCCCTAATTTCCCAAAAGGAGACACAATCAGATCTGCATTGGCCAAATTGTGCAAAAATCCAATTTGAAATATACTCTAATCTATACTGTACACATGAGTGATTGTGTCCTAACTCAAGATGGTATCATTACTTGTAAAAGGGAGGGGGGAGGGGTTCTGCAATTAGACAGGAGAATACTGACGAGATATTGTGCTGAAGACGTTGTATTGGTGATGGGGAGGGGGGATGGCAAGTTAGATGGGGATAGGCTGATCTACTGCAGATGAATAGGATGTTGGATCCTGGATTTCCCTCTATGTCAGGGATAGATAGGCATCTCAAGAGGCTCATGGCAGTTGCCAAGCAACAACCCTCCCCCCCTCTTATTCTACTTTTTTTTCCCATTTCCTCACATTGATATCTTTCTCTCAGGATTGAGGTGTAAAGGGAAAGCACAGTTTCCTGTGGGAGATTTTCAATTTGACCATTTTAACACCAATACTGTGAACTGCCAGCTGAAAACCCCTCTCTTCATTTGGAGTACAAGCCGAGTGACTGTGAATCACTGCCAGACTAGTACTAGGTTGGATCCTGATTTTGCAATAGTACTGGGATCCAGCACAATGTTTAAGGGCTGTTTACCTTGTGCGGTTCAGGTCAATCTTACATGGGTCCAGCTCAATGTATTTTCTCTCATCAAAGATGCGATTGATGATGGGTTTCAACACCTCATGCAGATACAGCATGCCAACAGCCTGATTACAAAACAATATTTGAAGACATTTTATATGAATCTATGATACAGGGATTGGTTTTTAAATATGTATTTCTACACAGGAAAGGTACAGCAGGTATATGTGATTCAGTGCCAATTTTAAATATTGCGGGTTAAGGAAGTAATAATGAACTAAATCAATCACTTGTACTGCCTTGACAGAAAAAAAATCCACTGCACCTTCATGAATTGTTCCATGGCCTTGGAAGCGAGTGAGTTGGAGCGAAATAAAGTGTTTGGATCAGCTGTGAAAGCAACATAGAAGGAAAACATTTTAAATTATTACAGTGATAACGACCATTTAAGAGAAACAGTACTGTTCTCTGCTAATCGATTCAGATCTCTCCAAGTCAAAGCTCAGCGTGACTCACACATCATTGAAACAAACAAAAAAAGATAATAAAATCACCTATTGATCCATCCAAGTAGAAAACAAAGAAAAGAGCCCACCCATTGTTTCAAATGTTCACAATCAATGTAATCAACGTTCACAAAAACTCTCATCTGGCGCATAATTATTCTTGATGAAAACCTTGGAGGTCGATGCTCGGCTTAAATAGAGTGTGTGGAAACTTTTTCTTCTGCTGCTCTCAATGAAGGCTTTTCTTTCGGTGATTGTAAACCATTCTTGGGTATTCATGTTTTCCATTCTCTGGTGCATTTTTATTAATGTCCCAAATGTCAGTGAGGCCTGATCTCACTGCAGTGTCACAGTAAATCCTTCAGAGGTTATGGTAAAGCATCCACGGTGAAAGGACTGGTTTGCTGGCTAAATTATTTGCCATATTTGTGGGGACAGCAGAACTCCTTTCATTTCTGCCCGGTGGGTGCATGATACATTTTACTTGCTTTGCCCTATGTGCCCGACTTTAATGTTTGGCTTCTCACAGCATCTATTCCTGATCAAGCAGTTACAGTTTGGATCATGTGGAGTTGCCATGGAAACTTGGGCACGATACTTATTATCAAACTACAACAACAGAACCCAAAGACCAGAGCACAACTCAGCGGGAATTATGTCGCAGATATGGTGCGGAGGCAAAAACATGACTAATCCAGACCTTGGAGAAGCCACGAAAAGACCGAAGGGGTGAGTAAATAATTGGCATCAGAGCGGTAAATATAGTGCCAGTGGGTTTTCACTGCCCACACACAGACCATAACTGCGGTGTTCAGAGAACTTGGTGTCAATTCAGAGTTAAATAGCAGAAACCTTCAGTGGGTCTCAGGAGAGTCAGGCAATAACAGTAAACCGGTTTGTGCCAAACTCTGATTAATACTGAAAACCAGAGATAAACCAAGATCTGACGCACGTTGTGTTTTATACAATCCCAGTTGTCACATGTAAGATTTTATATGAACAATTAAAAAGTAGGTCTGCAGGTGTTGCTTTTGCAGGGATTTCTCAGTGGCTCAGACTGACAAAAAAAACATTTTCAACCCTTCTTTCTTTTAGTCTTACTCGTGTGGTTGACTTCCCGGGTGTTGAGGTAATCCAAGAATGGCACCACCAGGCCTTGTCCCAGGTAGATCTTCACCAGAGTCATTGCGACATCCTGCCGGCTCTCAACCGTGGTCACCTCCTCCAGCATGGTCAGAGCACTGCTGTCCTCCACCTGCGAAAAGGAGGACTCGGGTCAGGTGCTAAGAATGTCTGTGTGCAGATGGAGGATGTGCAATGTGTCGTGCTGTCTCTTGAGATGATGATCATGGTGAATTAGTGAATATCCGTGATGAGGACGAGCTGCGATGCTGACCTCTGCGGGGGAGATTACCGACTCGACCAGCAGGTCGATGAGAGGCTGATAATACATGGACGGCAAGATCCGATCCTCCACCAAACGCACCTTCAAGCGCAACGCTCCCAGTTTTCCACTGAAAACAAATCACAGCAGTGCCGTGTCTCAAGAGGTGGAGGTTTTACCACATGCATAGCTCTTAGTCAAATAAGTCCCAATTAGCAATAACTGTGATTCGAACAGTAATTGTATTGCTTTTGTCCACTAAAGGGATATGCAGATTATCCAGGGATATCATGTTTTCAACTTAATGACAACTGACTGAAAATATCGAGTACAAAGGAACATTTCAGAATCATTCACCCAATCAAAACTTAGTTTGGACAAAAGTGCTCATTGTCAGGGAAACTTTCAATAGGCTTTTCTCTCACTTCTTCCCAAACTAACAGTACTGACTAAATATTCTCTGGTGATTTACTCTCTTACTCAACTGCATACTCCCCTCTACAAAAACCTTTACATTGCTGAACTTTACATTAAATTTATTTTAATCCATCCCTCTACAAAAAATATCTCAAGAAACAAATGCTACACTCATATATTTACATTGAAAACATTTAAAGAGAGCTTTTTAGGTTTCTAAAAGCAAAAAACTCTGAGATGCAAAGACAGATAAAGTTGCCATTTTACACAAACAAGCACACCCATAATCCCCACCTAGTGTCAACCTCATTGTTCCCCAGGGGAAGCAAACGAAACCAGCCCTCTAACAGAGGTGTCTTGTGCAAATAAGCAAAAGGGATTTCCACCTGTGAAAAGAACAAACAACAATAATGGAGCATCAGTTCAGAAAGAACAATAACCGTATGTTTAATGGACAACACATTTATGGAGCAATCCTAAAAATCCTGACCTTTCCCAGAAAGTCATTCTTGCCCACCATGTCCCAGTCCCAGACCTCCACAATGACAGTTCCATCATCAGTCAACTCCTCCTGATCAAGATCCAGCTCTAAGGTCTCTCCCCAGTGAGGGAAGCGGGTCTTCTTGATAATCTACAATCCACCATTGTTTGATGGAAAACATTTTAATTAACAATTGTTTTATTTCTGCTCATCCAAGTTAAAACTATTGATTACAGTGAGAAAAAAAGTCAGACTTCAGACATGCTGGTTGCAGTGAAACCTATATAGTCTGAACATGGATGTAAAGCTCACCGAGGTCTCTGCACTATGGTTGTTAAAAATAACTCTTGCAAAGGGATCGGAGGTTCCAGAAATGTCTCTTGGAGCCAAGTCTCTGTAGCAATCACCAGAGAAGAAGACAAGACAGCTTAAAAAATAAATCGAACCAAGCAAGAAATCCTGTTGCAATTTCTGTAAATCAAATTGGTTTGTGTGGCAAAGCGAGGAAAAGCGAGGAAAATGCCTTGCCATGACTCTTTCAAACCTAATTCACAGCCATCTCAGTGGTGTTTCAATAACACAGTGTCAAGCTCAGATTGACAGGCTCATTAGTGGTCTGACTGAGACTGCGAGATTGTAGCCTGGGACACACAGATGGGACAGAGAGTGGTGTGATGGTAGTATGACTCAGTAGGGAATGTGGAAGCCTGCGGGGCCATGATAACAGGACTTCAGCTCAGAATTTTGAAGCTAGCATCTCAAGTTCAGAAACGTAGTCGCATTTCAGAGGTTACAATAACATGAATTCCTGTATGTTTCTCTTTCTTAACTTTTTTATTACAAGCTTGGTGCTCTAATGTATACTGTGTTGTCAGATTTGCTATCTACAGTAACTTGTTTACCCATACTTTTAGAAGCAGTGGCCGGAGTTGTTTCATTTTACCTGGCTTCAATGACTTGACATCGCAGGCTGATCTTCTTTGTACCCTTCAGAAGCTCCAGACTGAGATGGATCTCTCCTTGAACTTCTTCATCAGGGTCAATCCTTGTCAGGTTCAGCCAGCTATCTAACCCTTTTCAGATCACAAAGATATACTGTTCACACAAGATTTATTCAAAATCAATTCCATCACAATCAAAACAATACGCAGTAAGAATTTGATTAAGGGCAAAATGTTATGCCTTTGACTTTCAATTAGATATTAGGTCAGACTACCTGAAAAAATACATTAAAACATTTGCATAAGCAATCAGGAACTACAGGTTTTTTTTTCACAAACGTCCATCACCTTACACTGTCAATACAGCAGACTAACCAGATGATGACGTGGGATCAAATCCTGCCTGCACTTTAATTACAAACTATAGGAATCTAACAAATACAATTGGAGATACAATTTAGCAATTCCTCCCACTTAGCAAAAATGTTACTTTTTGCTAAATAGGATGGACTAGTTGTGGAGCTTACTGCTACATTTCTTCTCTTAAAATGTCTACACCAATATGTTTTGGATAGGTCTGGTGTGTTTTGATGGCTTCACATTGAGAGTCCTCATTAGAAAAAGCACATTCAACACATTGCTGGAATCAGCTGCAGGCGTTTCATCTGTTCAAACCAGACAAGCTGTAAAATATGCTAAAACTGAGGGTATGTGATGTTTAGGTGGTTGATGCAATATGTTTTGTGAAACTCAAAGAATTAAGAAGTCTAAACTTAACCACATTTGTATTTTTTATTTGAAATCTATTGCGGCAGCCAACTGAGGCATAACCATGTACTCAATGGCCCTTCTGTAGACTTTCATGGTTGAAAAACATGTAAACTATGTGGTAGTGTTTAACTTATTGATTCCCACTCTAAAAAAAAATCAAACATGAGATAAAGTCAAGGCCTGACTGTCAGAGAAATCCAGAAAGGGAGTAGGTGACTCAGTACCATGATGGAGCAATGATTCACCAGAAAGAAGGCCTCGCCAGGTGGCTTTTCAAAAAATCAGTATGCAGTAAACATACCAAAACTATGACTCTTCCACCCCAGACCATATTGTGAATGCCATATGTTTTGCCAAGACATCACAGACGGTGCAACAGTTGATGCCGAGGTGTACTTTGTCAAAGAGAAGCGATGCATCAGAGTACCAGTCACGGCTCTCTAAAATGCTTTGGTTGGTCCCCTGGTTTATGATCAACAATTTTGTAGAAAGAAATGCACAAAAAGTGATTTGGACGGAGGCAAATAAAGTTAAGTAAAACTTTCCCAGACTAAAAAAAGGCCAGAACTTTAGCCTATGTCTCAGCAGTTGATGTATGTTTAACCCCTGGCCATGCACTCCATCAGTTTTAGACTAAAGCTGATTCCCTCAGTCATACCTCTAGCTTGGGATCCAATGGCTTCTTTGCTCAGTGTAATTTTTCCAATAACGTCATCATGGCTAGGAAAACAGTTGAAAAAAAAAGATTTTCAGTTATATAGGAATATACAATATGACTGCATATGCTGCATGCAGTGACTGGTTTAGTGGTCATTAGAAGAGAAAGAAAAAAACAACCTGTCATGACTTGATCTGGGTGACTGTTTACATATACATGTTTGTTTACATAAAGCTCGGACGTTTTTTCCCCCAAAACATTTGAGTTGAACTTGAAGGTTTCACCCACATATATCATTTCATGAAGGAAGTTAAGCAAACATCAAGAATATTCCACAAAATAACTACCAAATATGGACAGTTAAAGCAAAGGTTTCAAATGGTTGACTTACCCAATCGTGTCCTCATCCATGACCTGGAACGAGAGTGAATGGAACCCCATTGGGAGGTGTAACGTGTACTCCTCGCCCCAGAAGGGATTTAGATTCTTCCACACAGTGGCAGTCCTGGAAATGAGATGTTAAACTTTTCTGTCAAGCAACCTTCAAACTATTTCATTCTACATATATGGATTAAATGTGCGTGTGTGAGTGTGTGTGTTTTATGATCCTCATAAAAGACAATGTGGCACGCCCAGTTTATGTTTTTCAGATATACTAAGTTCTTATATTTTCAACCACCCATTTAGAATAAACAGTAAATAAAGTTTGTATGAAAGGTTTGCAAGAAGAAAGCCACAACTCACCCAAAATTACAAAGTTGCAAATCTGCATTTGAATCATGACAGCATGTAACTATTGTTGAAACACTAAATTCTGATTAACTAAAGACTGCATTAAATCTAAATGTACGCAGTTTTCTACCAGTCATATTAATTTATTATTCAATTATCTTAATTCATTACTACATTGCAGATTTGACCATTGTTGTTTACATGGCTTTTGTGAGAATCGTATGACATTTATATTCATATTTAAGCAAAAATAATAATTAAAGAATAGATGGTTCACAAACTTTTTAAAATCGTAACAGGATCAACAGATAAAAAAATCTGAAAATGTACTGTACAGTCAGAGTGTACAACACAAATTACCTCCCACCACAATCCATCAGCCTCATCATCCAAGAGCATCACACTCAAGAGTCGGTTGGTCAGAACCAGTATAAGTGCAAGATAATCAGTGTGACTGTCTGCTGTGAATCATTGTGCTATTTTTCATCATCATACCAGATGGAACAAAAGCCACTAAAAACACCCCGTCCATTTTCACTGCTGAAGACCTCCTCTATCTTCAACTGGACTTTCACACTTAAACTCGTAGCCACCTCTGAGCAGGTGGATACTGCTCTCAGTTCCCAGCGTTCACCTTTCTTACAGGTGTCCCCTGTGATAATTGATGCATTGTCTCCATGGTTACCCAGGGGTGTTTAAAGGCCAGACCAGTATCAGGTTCTCTGATGGAGGGGCCACGCTGTGGGCACCAAAACATTCACTCCAACATCGTTACATGTGCGAAGCACAGAGAGACAAACAATGTAAACACCGTTGAGAAACTTAACAGCTTGATATGAGGCAGATTATCCGGTTATTGTATCTGCAAATAAAGCAACAGGTAGTCATTATGATCAGAGAGCTCACCTGGCCACTACTTCATTGTCAATTTTAACGATGCAGTAAGGATCGCTGGTTCCAGATCTTAATGTGAAAGAAAACAATTTAAACATATGACAGAAAAAGCACAGAGAAATTGCCTCTTATTAATGAATTTTAATTATTTCCTTGGGTAATTAAATATTCTCTAATCAATATGATCAGGTATATTTCCTCATAATTTACAGGAAAGGCTGTAGCACAGAAGAATATGAAATACGAGTTGTTAAAATCTAATAGATAAGTAGATATAAAACAATGCTGTGCATATTCTGAAAGATAAGACTTGACAATACATGCCAATCAGAAATTACTCACACGTCTTTGGCCGGGAGATTCCTGCCCTCAACAATTCGAAAATAAAGAGAAGTATTTTTGGACATTTTCACTTAGGCAGGATAGTAGTCCAATTTCTCATATGCTTCCATACGCGCTCTTATAAAGAGCGCTCTTCCCCTCCGCGAGTGAGTTTTCTTCGCTTCATGACACCTTCAGATCGTGACGGCGTACAGCCCACCAGTAGCGCGCGACACGGGCGCGCATCCGGTCCTGACTCTTGTCAGATGAGCAGGTTAAACGACAGGTTGTATTCCGAGGTTTAAAACCTCACATGTCCTTGTCAGTCTTAAAGTTCCTCTTTTAAATGACTTCTTCGTGGCTAATTATTAACCACGGAGATCCTAGAACAAATGTGACTCAATTTATTTATATACACAAAGGCACAAACGTTTACGTTTTACGTCAAACCGAGTCGTTTTCAGCATTTTATATTCAACATTTTTGCTGTTGTTTTGTTTGTTTCTTTTTGTTTATTCTCACATACAACAGCTGCTTATATTTGACATCTGGTCCTCTCGTTAGCATCTCCTTCGGATACAAAGCGCCATCTGCTGAACATAGTAAGCTACGTCACATGAAATTTAAGACAGGCATATTTTTAGCCAACAACTTGGGGTCCTAGTTCGCTTGGGCTGTACACAATACAAACGGAAGTAACTCAGCTGAAAAGAAATAGTTTGCTTTTTTGTCAGCTTTTGCCAATTTAAGAAGATTATTGTTTACTACGTAGTGTCAAATAATTAATTTACTGACGTTTCTGAAACCATTTCAACATAATTTTCATGAAAGCAATTCCAGGGGGACTGGTTTTGTTAGCCAGTTGGATGTTTTGAACAACGTTTGGAGATGTGTGTGCATTTCACCTAAAAGACATGGATGGTTACCCCAGCGTCCTCGACAGTGATTCCACAAAACACCAGGAAAGACATTACTACCTCCTATCTGAACTACAATTGCTGGTCAAAGACTTACCAAGGTAAGTTTTTCTTCAGTTTTTACCAGTGACGACCATTCATAACTGTATCCTGATATTGTTCATCAGTTCCTTCCAGCAACGGCTATCCTACAACACGCTGAGTGACCTGGCTCTAGCACTCATAGACGGGACGGTGTATGAGATTGTCCAGGGCCTCCTGGATATTCAGCACCTGACAGAGAAAAACCTGTACAACCAAAGGCAGAAACTGCATTGTGAACATCAAGGTTAGTGTTAGATTCAACAGAAAATGCTCTTATATTTTTCTGTTCTTTTTTTATTTAATTTCTAGTTGCCACAGCCTACAGACCCCACTGACAGGTCAACTTAGTGGCCTTTATCAAAGAACCAGTACTCGGTTTGCTGCAGTAATTCTATCTATCAGTGTAGGCTTTATTTGTTTTTGTTTTGTTTGCAGCACTCAAACAGGATCTTGCACGAAAGCACAAAGATGCTTTACTGTCATGCAAGTCACACAACCTTTCACTTCTCAAGTCTACCCAGCAAGCAGAGCTCGAGGTAAGAATCTGACGCTAAATAACTCTGGCTCCTTAACGGGATATGGTATTATCATATGCATTTTGGGTTGCGTTCTCAGGCACTGGAAGTTCGAGTGCGAGAAGAACAAAGGATGATGGATAAAAAGATAGTAGCAGAAATTGATCAAAAAGTAATAGACCAGCAGAACACTCTGGAGAAGGCTGGAGTCCCTGGATTTTACATCACCACTAATCCTCAGGTTGATGTCCTTATCTTTCTGCTCACTGTTGATAAAATGTTGATAACCACCATAAAGAATTGCACTGCATACATTTTTTGACATAAAGTATCCAACAGTATGTCATATATGTTAAAATGAAGTCCTCTGCAATCACATTGTGTTTCAGGAGCTGACAATGCAGATGAACCTCCTTGAACTGATTCTCAAGCTTCAGCAGAAAGAGTCTCAGTCTGGTCTGCTGTGAGGATAAAAAAGGGACTCTTTTTTTGCCAAAGCAATTAAATATTTATTTTATTTATTTTTTTACGCTAGTGAGCAAGTAACATCGTACAGCAACAAGTCCATGGAGTGTTGAAACGCATGTTGTTCTTGGAAGAATATGTTGGGTGTTGCAATCCTGTTTGAAGAAGTTCATCTCAAGGATAACGCCATGGGGGAAGAGCAGCAGAACACTGACAGCTTAAAAGTAAAGTCAGACTTTGAGATAAGAAAGCTGTTCTGTGTCAAATTCTGATACTTTTTTTTTTTTACATGACAGACACAAAGATTTACTGGGATGGCATCGCTTGCTATTTTGGAAATTGAAGCAGTGCGTTGGAGGGCCTTCTCTGGGCACATATGTATTTTTTTGTTTTCAAGATATGTTTTTTTTTATTTCCATTGAAACACAGGGTTGAACAGCAACAGTTACATTCCCCTTCCAATATTTTTAACACAAGACTTCTTTTTTTTTTTTCTTCTTCTTTTTTCTGGATGGATCTGTTATCTGAAATTTGTTAACTGAATTGTCATTTCAGTTTGTAAAAAAGCTCTGTTTGTAGTCATGACTGAATAAATTGACTGGCAATAATGTTTTTTTATTTGTAAGGAACTGTTTGGTTCTTTATGCAGAGCCTTATTTGGGATTTTACCTGCAGTGTTTATGGTCTGGACCACTAGCCAGATCTTTTGACTGAGAAGTATAAAACAAGCTGCTGGGTTCCCAGAATAAAAAAAAACTAGCTTGATAAGTGGCCCTCACTAATGTGGAAAATAAAGGCATTGTAAAGCAGCAGTGTCTACATGTACAAACTGACTGGAACAAATATTTGAATTTGTATGTATGTCACCATAATGTGAGGAAAATATACACTTCATTAGACTCCATACATACACTCCATTTTTAGTAATTTGATATATATGCAATGAACACCTGATTTAACAGTGAAAATCTGGTGCTGCACAAACCTTTCAATTAATAAATGTTCTTTTTACGGCGTTAACGCCGGAACGTCTGACTCCACTGAACAGAACAGTATTTTAGGAAAATGTCATTTATTTGCAGTATCATAGGATCAGTTTATGAGCAAGCCATATTTTTCTGATTTCACCATTCCTACTTTAGGGATCATAACTGAAGACCAAAATGGCAATAAAACAATCAACAGAGTGCAAACACATGTCAGTGCAAATTTACTTCGAGAGTGTTCGTTCCAGGAGTCAAAATCTGTATTAACCGATTGATTTTTTTTTATTGATTGAGCTAGTTATTCATTTATCACCAGTGAGGATCACTGCATGCCACTCCCCAACCCACTGTCTGCTGGTTTCAGCATCATGTGGATTTGCTGATATGAGGTGGGGCTCGGTGTGCTCCCCGTAGCAGAGCTTTGAAAAAGGGGGACTGTCCCTTTAAGAGGCAGCCAGGGCTCTTCATGCTGCTTTCCCTCCCCATAGGTGCACCTTCAGCTCCATCACCAGGCGATGCTCCCCGGCCACTCCGTCCAGCGCCGCACCGGTGGAACAGACGGACACAACTACAGATGACCGAGCCAGGGCAGCAAGGGGTATTTGTTTCACTTTTGTGTATTGGTGCTCTATTTGTACTCCAAAGAAGGAGGAATCAGTCGCACCTAAGCCGGGAAAGGAAAGTGCGATGTAGCGCAGTGCACAGTGCGCTCTTTTCCATTCTGTCGTAAATTATTAATGTGCCCTTTAGCAATGCTCATTCTCTTCTTCCTTGGTATTTCATCGGGTTATGTTATCCAGTCATGGTTATGTTTTTTATTTTGTTTGTAATGTAAACAAGTCATGTACTTTACGACAACTGTCTTAATCGAGACGGGAATAAAACGTTACGTAATTGTAATGGAGGCATCCCGCTGTCGCCATATGTTTATCCAGGCCAGGAATCGGATGCTGAGCTGCTGGTTGTCGTCAGGAAAAATGAATACTGCGCGTTTCTTTGAAAAACACGAAACGTTCTCAAGCAAAGACAGAAAGTATTCTGTTGCCATGATTTGACACTTCAGTGATGCTTTTAGGTGACGTGGACCGGCCTGCTGGGTGCTTAGGGCTGTGTTACACCTTAAGGCTTCACGTCATGAGCGCAAAATACAAAAGGCTGCAAAAATAAAGACTTGACTATCACACAAACATAATTAAATAAGTGGTATTCATTAAAAATCTATATAAATCATTCTCATATGGCCATAACCTAAAATGATCTTGCTGTGTTTCCTATTTTCTCTAAAGATTAATAGTAATAACATCTACCAAATTATTCTTTTGAGAAATAGTGGTTTGGAGAAAATACTATTTTATTTTTTTGTGTGTTTGCCAGTAAGATTATTGTCTTCAGGATAAAACATGTTGCGATTTGCCTATTTTTTCTATAAATCTGTTTTTGGACTGTACCTAATATATCTAAGGACCTACATTCTGTAAATTGTCCAGAAATTTACTCCACAGGAAATATTACTTCTTCACAGAAGTACACTGAAACCATATGGGAGACACTGTCCTGTTTAGCCTGCCCTGACTGTGGTGATTAATTATATTTGAAGTTACGTGGGGTTCTTGATGTTCATGTTTATGATGCTTTATAGTCCTGAAAACTATTTGGAAATTCATGCTTTGAGAGTGCTGTGTTACTTCTGGTTAAAATATGGCTGAAATTATAACTCAAAAGTTTTCTTTGCCTCTTTAAAGAGGAAGGAATATTAAAACAAATAGATGTTGGAATACATAATGTTTAATTAATTCAAATATTGGTCAAATTGATTTGATGTTTCTGCTGCTAAGTTTTTTAATCGCAAAAACCGTTATACGGAAGTTTTCCACTGCACAAACCAAGCTTTTTCATGTAAACTGGCTATTCATAAAGAAAGTATGCGTGTATTTACATGACGATAAAAGATAGATCCAACTGATTATAACCTTGCTGCAGGTGTTTGCGTGTGCACTTACGTGAATATTCTGATTTTCTTCTGCAGGTCGTCTTCATAGAAAAGTAATGGACTCAGTTTGACAAGTGCGGCCCCTACCCAGCCCCCCCCCCCACCCCTGCAGGCCTCTTTAACACACTGCAGCTATGGCGGCTTGTCCGAGAGGCTGTGCGCCAGCTGTGCGCCTTTGTCAGCGACTGAACCGACTGAAAACGCTAGATGGCGACATGATGGCAACGTCGCTGAAACGATGCCTGTCCACACTGGACCTGACTCTGATGGGGGTCGGTGGCATGGTGGGCTCTGGTCTTTATGTCCTAACAGGAACTGTGGCTAAGGACACGGCTGGGCCAGCTGTTATCATATCCTTCCTTTTTGCAGGTATTGCCTCCTTACTGGCTGCCTTTTGTTATGCAGAGTTTGGAGCACGCATTCCCAAAACAGGTTCTGCCTACATGTTTACCTATGTGTCCGTGGGAGAGGTCTGGGCATTTCTCATTGGCTGGAACGTGATCCTGGAGAACATGATTGGAGGTGCTGCTGTGGCACGAGCCTGGAGTGGCTATCTAGACTCCATTTTTAACCATGCCATCCAGAACTTCACAGAGACACACATCATGCAGTGGAACGTGCCCTTCCTGGCTCATTACCCTGACCTACTTGCGGCAGGAATTCTTGTCGTTGCCTCTGTCTTTATTTCCTTTGGAGTTCAAGTGTCCTCTTATCTGAACCATATCTTCTCCATCATAAGCATGGGGGTCATTGTTTTCATCCTGGTCTTTGGGTTCATTCTGGCTGAGCCTGCCAACTGGAGTCAGGAGCAGGGAGGCTTTGCCCCTTTTGGGATGTCTGGAATCCTGGCAGGCTCGGCCACGTGCTTCTATGCCTTTGTGGGCTTTGATGTCATTGCCTCTTCAAGTGAGGAGGCAAAAGATCCCCAGAAAGCTATCCCTATTGCCACTGCCATTTCTTTGGGACTGGCAGCAACAGCCTACATCCTGGTGTCCACTGTGCTCACACTAATAGTGCCCTGGCGCACACTGGATCCCAACTCAGCCCTGGCCGATGCTTTTTTCCGCCGTGGTTACAGTTGGGCTGGAATTATTGTGGCCATAGGCTCCATCTGTGGTGAGTAGCATCCTCTAAATGAGCATGGAAACTTAAATTGTGCTTGGTACATTAAGGATAGCTGTGGCATTGACTTCTCATCACTTTGTTTTGCCTTATGTTTTCTCATTTTCAGCGATGAACACTGTGCTGCTCTGCAATCTCTTCTCCCTCCCTCGGATTGTGTACGCCATGGCAGATGACGGATTGTTCTTCTCCATCTTTGCGCGGGTCAATCCCGTCACTAAAGTCCCCGTCAATGCAATCCTGGTGTTCGGAATCCTCATGGCGACCATGGCTCTGATCTTTGATCTTGAGGCTTTGGTTCAGTTCCTGTCTATCGGCACTCTCCTGGCATACACCTTTGTGGCAGCAAGCATTATTGTGCTGCGTTTCCAGCCTGAGAAAACCAAGGAAACAGCTTCCACATCTCCCAACCCCAGTGCTGAGCCCCCATCTGCCCCTTCAGAGTCTGAGACCATAACGGATAGCAGCGATGGGCCCAAGCAATATGAGTCTTTCTCTGACAAACTCCAGCTGGTGGAGAGGCAGAAGACAAGAGAGCGGCGTGGGGTGGGGCAGCTGAAGGCCTACTGGGAGCCATACCTGGACAGGCTGCTGGGGGACTGTGAGCCCGGTGAAGTGGTGGCCTTCGGTGTGTTGACTCTGATTGTGAGCTCCGTGTCCCTCTGTGCTGTGCTGGAGTTCGGAAGCAAACAGCTGCAGCTGCCAGTCTGGAGCTTTGCATTGCTCGTGGTCATCTTCAGCTTGGCTTTCATCATCAGCCTGGTACTTATATGGGTTCACGAGCCACAAAAAAACACCAAAACATTCCAGGTGAGCTGCTATTATAAAAGTCAGTTTTAAGATCAGATTTACTGGAACATGTCCTTCATTTAATGTGTCAATATGAAAAAACGTAGTAACTATGTCTAAATTTGATTGTTTTCTAGGTTCCTCTGGTCCCACTGACTCCCGGCGCCAGTATCCTTCTTAATGTGTTCCTCATGATGAAACTCAGCGTTCTAACCTGGATTAGATTCACTGTGTGGATTGGCATTGGTAAGGCAGCATTCAGACTTAGGCAGAAAATAATGAAGCCAAATAAATACTTTCCTCGAATTTACTTCTGCAAAACAAACACGATATTTTGATCACCTGAGTTGATGGCTGAATGAACTCACAGCCGTGGGCACACTTCTTCCACTCCGGACAGCCCATGGCTTCCAGTTTACACACAATGTGAAACTTACCTTAATGTCATAAACATCCCTTTTATCTGCAGGCCATTGATGATATAGGTGGTGTTCAAACAGCATTAATACCCTGTCAGTGAAGGGGGGGATCACTGGGTAAACACGATTATCTGCATTAGCTTAAGGCTCCTCTGGATAAGTAAACCATTTAAACGCCACTGTCAGCCTGCTGCAAGTTAACAAGATGCACACTCATGAAATATTACACTTGACATGGCCTGTTGCCTGACAACGTTTTCCACTGTGGGAGACTGAGCTAGAAATTTGACAAGACAAGACAAGAACATTTACAAAAACTAGCTAAACGATTGGATTTCTTTGGACCTTTTGGGCTAAATACCATGTCAACATGGTGGAGTTGTTGGATTCATAAAAAATGTGTTTCTGATTCTTATTTTAACAAATCTCCACACAGCTCCCGATACTGTGTTATAGTGTTTCCATTAGATTGCCACGAGTTTTGCGCACTGTACCTTTTAAGATGGAACATGTTCATCTTACTTTTCTAGTGGTGCCACTATTGTAATGTCAGGGTACGCAATTCCCAATCCTGGTCATCAAATCATGCCCTTAGGATGCTCAGTTTATTTTAGATGAGCTATTATTAGCATGCTAGACTGTAGATAGCAGGCCTGCTTCACAAAAAAATATTAGCATACAGGAATGTCAACACATGCTGTTGTACACTCCCAACATGTGCCGTAGTCTTTCTTGATTTAAATGATCACCCCAGTAAAATGCTTCCTGCTACTCCTCTTTCAGGCCTTATTGTGTATTTTGGCTATGGCATCTGGCACAGTAAGGAGGGAATACGAGAGCTGCAGCCTAAAGACATGGCCGCCCGGTATGTGGTGTTACCCAGCGGCAGCCTGGTGGAAACCGTGCAGTCCGTCCAGCCCGACGGTGAAGTGGACGCCTCAACGCACCGCGTCAGCTCCCCCTCCGCTCCAACGCCCGAGGACTACGCTGGGAAGAGATGATGTGTGACCCATGTGATTCACCATTACAGATGCCTGATATGATCTGTTGTCCCTCACACATACCGTATTATTGCTAATGTACTTTATGTATCTCACTCCTGTTAGCGCTCGGCAGTCTGTATCTGTTTGCTCAGCAAAAGTATGTTCACCTCTGGAAGAGATTCACTCAGTCTTATTGTGAAGCACATTTGTACAATTTGCATTGCTCAAACATACAGTTGAGAGCTTTACTACGGTCCTGAACTCTTAAACCATCAAAGGTGTGTTGCATTCTTCATCCCTTTTGCAAACTTGGTATTTTTTTCGCAATCCAGTCAGTTGAAGGTTAAATATGGTGCTTCGAGTATTTATTTAAGTAAGTGTTTTACACATGTTAACAGTGCTGGGGCTTTAAAGCAGAAGACCCACTACATTTTTGAAGGATTATTTTTGACAAGTTAGCTGTCATTGTTTGTTTGTTTTTGTTGTGTTTATTTCTAGATTAACAGAAGACTGCACAGAGTTGTGAGTTTACATTTTTGTCTCTTCACAAATTCTCCTCCATGCCACAGAAGAAACTTCAGGCTTTAAAGTAGAGCTTTTTTATCTATCAACCTCATTGTGGTAAACTTACACTTTCCATAGGTATATCGAGTCTTATTAAATTATTTATTCCTATTATATAACATCAGTTCTATTTTTTTCTTTTTTAATAATACCAATCACATTTTCCACATATTCAGGACACATAGTCTTAGTTCTCTTTAATTTCTGTTCTTGTTGTGTTTTGTTTTGTTGTGTTACTATTTTTGTATCATAAGTTTTACATGTATCTCTGCTGGTCTTGATAAGTAATAGGTGTTTACCTTTTATTTGATTGAGCACTTTAGCCTTTTTCCCACCTGTTTCAAATCCCATGACTCATCTTTTGCGCCTTTTTTTAGCTTGCATCATTCATCTTCGGCTTTTCCCTCTTTCTCTGTTATCTCAAGATTTGAACTCAAAGCACACCAATCACTGAGATTACACAACTGGTTCCTTAAACAACCTGAGGAATAATTCAATTACTGAGCATATGGACAAGCACAAGGCGAATGAATGGGAATTTTGCACCAAAACTGAAACGAGTAGGCCTACATTGGATTCTGTTTCAGCTCGGTAATCCCAACAGATGTGCTGTGCTGCAGTCTCTGTCCCCACTCTGCCACATGACCTAGAATAGAGGAAAGCACACTCGTGACAATAACATTCCTTCAATCTGCTTTCGTATCTGCAAATTATCTGAAGTAAGGCTTGTTTTTAATCAAATACGTAAAAGCACTTAAAAGATGTCACCGTCTGGTTTAATTGATTTCACTTTGTTGTGGAACTTTACATAAGAGACCAATGGCCTTATAAATGTTTTCAATGCAGACTGATCTCCAAAGCCGAAGCTTGTCCATCTAACTGGTTCTAGCTGACTCGTTTATTTGCCTGTCAGGAAAAAAACTCTTAACCAGGACTTGTTCTTTAGTTTTTAAGCCAAAAATTTAAATAATCCAAATATGGAAGAGAATGTACATTAGGAGGCATTTTGACATTGTTGGAAAAGGGTTGAGATTTCAAGGGAATTTTATACAACTTTGCAAATTATTGTCCAGTAATTTATTTATTTTTTTCCAAATTAATGCTTTTGGTGTTGGGGCCAGTGACACATATTTATACTGTTACTGTATACTGTTACTTTTTAAGCTATACATTCTATCAAATATTTTTGTGCCAGGAAGCATACATTCACTTGGTCAGATTCTTATCTTACCGTTGAGTAGTATTGTGCTCTGTACTCGCACATTCAAGTCTCAAATCTTTATGTTACAGTGTATGTCTGTAAAATGAAAGAAAAAAACCCAGAAAAAATAAATGTTTTAAAGCAGCATTAAACCACTGGTATTCCTACTGCACAGTACATGTCCTCTGAGATAATTTCCTCCCATAAAATGTAGAATCTACATCATCTGAATGCTTGTCCGTGTCTACTCCTGAATGCAGAGTAATAAATAAATAATATTTTATTCAACCATAAATAACAGTGAAACAAGGTGATCAGTTATAGTATGACAGCTTACCTTAAATCAGCTATTTCCCTCTCATATTGTGAACAAAGCTCTGACATTTCCTTGGGTTTGATACTTAAAGATTAGCAAAAGATCCTTTGGACCTTGTGGGTTGTGGTCTTTGTGGATTGGACTTGCTTCCCACAAATGTCTTCAGATCCCATCAGATCAGCATCTGGAAAATGTGTGGGCCAGGCCAACACATCACACTCCTGATTATAGTTCATGAAAACCTTCCATTGCTGTTTATATACAAACACAAAATTGATCTCCTAAATAAATCAAGGGTTTGTTTCGTTCTTAAAACGTTTTTAACCCTTAAACTCCTGTTAGATTTCAATTGTATTTTATGCCAACAAATACTGAATATTCAAGTTTAAATCATAGTGCACTTTTAAATTTATAATACCTCCCTAAACTCTTCTCTAATACACTCATGTATCTGTGACCTTTAATTTGATACCGCTGTTAGCTGCTAAACAACAGCAGGTTTCAGGTTAGACAACAACAGGCACTTTTTAAGTAACTCCCTTATAAGTAGCTCTATTATTCAAACAAAACCAGTGGGGTTTTTTATACGTAGGATTAAATCATGCTAGATTCATGCATATCTTTTACATCACTTCATAATCTGTTAATAATGTTTTGTACAAACAACAGTCCCCACTTTACATGACAAGTTGCCCATTTATATTAAAGTTCTACCTCGTAATATTCACTGCCATCAGGGTGGTGAGGGAAAACTTTAGTTATATGTTTGCTGTCACTGGTGCATAGTTAACACATGAGAGGGATTAACCCTCCGGTCACAAGCTGTCTGCTTAAGAGAATGAAATAACAGATCAGCCGTCTGCTTATGTTTTTTTGATGAGACATTATACAAAGATTACTAGCAATGTTTTTGTCTTCACAAATTCAAAACATTCCTAATTTGATATATACATATTTATATACATATATGTGTATGTATACACAAATATGTGCACTAAAGAGCATGTACTAACAGATAAGCTCAAGTAGCTTGGTGGAGTATATGTCCAGAGAATCCTGCAAGCCCTTAGGTTTCCATGGACACTCAGCTATTGCTTTCTGTCAGGCAGCAGACTGACAATGACATGCACATTTCTCTCTCATGCTACTTTTGTGACATTCAAGATTACACAAGCTGGCACTTTACATGCTCTGAAGGCCTTCTATTCAGACACATCCGTGTTTGTTGGACAAACATGGCAACCTGAAACCTCATACGCTTTCTCCACCATTGCCCTGCTTTATTAGCAAAATCCACAGTATGTTTATCAAGGGTATGTTTTGCTTAGTGTAATGAGAGGTGTTGGAAATGTTTTAATCCATTGAAAGAAGAGAAAATACAAAAGTTTTAGTGTAATGGAGAGGGAAATGATTATGAGACATGAAAGTTGTTGTCAAATATCCTCATACAAAGCCTTGAAGCAGCTATATACATGTGGTTATACTCCCATAATTTTATTTTTTCCTTTGGGTAAAGTCTCCACAGTGAGAAAGCCGGGAAATGCTTCGAGTTTGTGTGTGACCTTTGACAGCAGTGGAGTCTGTGTTGAGGTGGAGGGTTTGAGGATGAATTTGCAGGGACAAATGAGAGGCCGACACATGATCCTCCAACCCAGCTGAGTGCACCTCCCTCTGTGCTCCCCTGTCTTCCATTTCTGTGTCACTGCATTCTGGTTGAGGCACACTGCTGCCCAGTCTGTGGAACACATAGCTCAATTGTAAAACACACTGCTGTTTGTATTAGAATGAAACATTAGAACAAATCTGAAGAGCAGAAAACTTACGATGGACTCCTCGGCATTTGGGTCAAATTACTTTGTTGTTTTTTTGTTGGTGTGCTCATTTCCTGCAAAGGTAAAGTCTCCTATGGACAAGGATGCAAACATAGAGTTTTTAAAGAGTTGCAGTAACAATGAAACTGTAAATGCACCAATTCTTCTTCACAGAGCGCCCCACATGTTCTATCTGCATTACACTACTTACCAAGGTGGTCTTATTTTGTGCTGTTTGATGTAGTTTCACAAGACATTTCTGTAGTGTAGCATTTTCCTCCTCCAGAACTTTTATACGAATGCTGTTTGCCTGAAGTTGTTGCTCCATATCCAAAAGCATGTTCCCTGTACCTGATGTGCAAAGATCAACAGGTAAGTAAGCTTTAAGGTTATTCATGAGCAAAAAATAAAAAATAAAACATGCACAGGTAAACTACCATCTGCTTTTCAAAATACAAGATAGTGCCTTTTGTGTAAAAAATAACAGTGTTAGAAAGTGATTGCTTACTCTGTGGCTGAGTCTGAGAAAATGTGTTAAGTTCTGGAAAAGCCACCAAAAGCCTCTCCCGCTCTCTTAAAGCGTGCACATGTTCCTTTAGCTCAGCCATGCCCTTTTGCAGCTCATCCACATGTTTTTCTAGCACTTCTTTTTCTTTTTGAAGGTCTACATTCAAGTCCTAAAGTAGGAAAAAGGCACATAAAAACATGTACCCCTCAGAATAAAATAGCTTTTTAGTGGCATTAGTAGGGGCGATGGGTATTTAAAGACTCTTGTATATACCTGCTGTTGACTGAGCTGAGTCTGTAGTTGTTCCTTCACCTCTGATATCTGTTGCAGCTGATTGCTCAAGTCGATCTCTCCCTCCTCTTTGTCGCCCAGCTGCCTCTGCAGCTCTTCACACTCCTCATCAAGAGCATCAACTCTCTTTAGCAAAGACCTCTGCTTTGCCTGCATTGCCTGGATACACAACCAAAAGGAAAATATGCACATGCATTGAGAGAGTGAGAAAATCAAGGCCTTCGACTGAAATCAACAAAGAAGGTGACCTTTAGTGTGACACTTACTTCTTGTTGACGACAAGCACTCTGGTATTTGGCACTCTCCTTATCAAGTAGGAGTTGAGAGGCAGATATTTCGGCCTCTAGCTGCTGGATCCTTTGCTGAAGTCTGCAGCAGGTCTCTTCTTCTGTTAGCAGGGTCTTCACTTTTTCTTGCAGTGCATTCTTTTCAAACTCTAGGGGAAAAATAAAAAAGATTTCTTATGCACAATAACAGACTTTGTTCCATTCCATTCATTTTTTTATAATGGTAAAAAAAAAAATCTGTATGTCCCTACCAAGTGCTTGTAAAGTTTCTTGCTGCAAAGATACTTTTTCTTTTAGTTTGGTGTTACTCTCCTCCAACGTCAAGGTTTCTTTAACAAAAACATAAAGAGTTGTAGGAAATGTGATCTCTTAGTGAAAACTTGCCATATTCATTCCAGGATTCACTACCTTTTCTGAGTTGCTGTTGCTCTTCCCGTAGCCTCTGTTCGCTCTCTTTCATGGACCTCTGCGCTTTCCCCAGCGAAAACTCCAGCTGGACTATGTTTGCTTGGTGTTTGTCTAGTACTCCCTTGAACTCGTTCTGCGCTTTTTCCAGCTGAGATCTGAATCTGCTGCAGTCCATTTCAGCTGCCGCTAACTTGTCTCTGAGCGGCTGCACTGTACCCCGCACATCCTGCAGATGTTTTGCCAGGCGGCGCATGTCCCTGAGCTGCTCATTGGCCCACTGGGCAACATCACCTGTGCTCATGTGTCCCACCCTCACCGTGTCCTTCACAACTTCTGAGAAAGGCTGAAGAGATGAGGGCAGGCCCTCACTTTGAAACAGATTGACTAAAGCATCTCCTGTGTTTCTCAACAGGGATTGCACTTGATGGCACGCATCGCAGGGAACGAATGATGATTCTATCGTTTGACTGCTCACATTACGGTGGTCAGCTTTACAACAAAACAGGGTTTTGTGGGTGGGACAGGCAGGTACATTATTTTGTGGGAGAGTTTTAAATGAATTTGCTGAAGACCTGGCAGACAGGCATCTGTAATAGTCAGTCCTTGAGTTAGACAGAGGAGATGCTGTCTCATCACACTTAGGTATCTTTGTCTGTTTTATCACATCTTTGGAAAGCTCCTGTAAGAATAAAGAGAGCAAAAAAGTATTGAGAACGTGCATATCAATATCTTGTTATTGTGTTTAATATCTATAATCTTTCCCACAATAGGCATTACACATACCTTTTGGCTGGCAAATTGAACTAAATTTATCCAATAGTTCTTAACCACGAGGCCTACCGACTGGAATCCATTCTGCTGGGGGTGCTCCCTCCTCGGGTTTGCCCTCTGTTGCTCAACATAGACACTAACACTCTGGAGGAGAAGCAGTAATCTTTTTCAGGTAGAAGACAAGAAAAAAAAGTAAAGTGTTGAAAAAAGTCTTGAAAGAATTATTTTGTCCATTTAAAGTTTTATTTATTACCTGTCAATCATCAGTTCCAGTAAAACAATGTGGGAGTGCTGGTTGAAGGCATCCTCCCCATCCAAATAGTCATACTCCTCCAGCAAAGCCACGATGTCCAGATTACAGGAAAGTTTGTCAGGGAACTTCCAGGAGGAAAAACGAACCGGTCCAGTTCTGGAAAAGACGTCCAGAACCGCACCCTGAATGTCGACTACGTCTTTTCGGAGACTCTTGATACAGTCTTGGCGACCCAACAGCTGACTCATATCTAAAATCTGTTTTTATGTTAACTGTGCTGGAAAGCTATGCAAATGTGTTGCATGTTATCGATGTGTTTCCTTAGCAACGAAAAATCCCTCTAAGGTCCAGAATGCTTTGCGAGTTTCTTCCGGAAGTAATACTCCTCCATTAGGGCAACCAAAGCGCGACGTAGTAAGTATTTAGCCGCAGCAAATTTAGGTTGGTAGCTATCGTAACTTTTGTTAAATTTTCCATATGTGATATTAGCATGCATTAAGATTCACGCAGACTTGTTGTTTATGTTTTTCAGGCTGTTTCCGTATCACACAAAAAGACGCAGCCATGCCGCCTGGGCCCGTCCAAATAGTTCAGCCTGAGCCCAACAACAAGGTAACGTTTCAATGATAATGCTAGCCATTTTAGCTAGCACAATGCTTTTTTGGCAGACATGTGAGGTTCATAGGTGACCGTCCCCTTAATTTTGCGTAAAATTGGTGTTTAGAGTAAAAACAAAAACAAAAAAATGATCGTAGAAAGTTTAGATAACAGCATACATTTTTTGCGTAACATCGTTTGAAATTTGCTAGCACCGAGGCTCCCATTTTCTGAGCATACCTCATTTCAAAATATGCTAACAGATACCTGTTGAGACTTTGCAATCCTCTCTGAAAAAGAGGCATGTACTAAAAATTAAATAATCTGGTTCTCCTTGCCAGGTGTTGTATTAACTTAGTTATACCCAACGACTTACGTGATGACACATTTTCGACGTCTTTAAGGTCATATTGGCTCTTAAATGGTTGTTAATATTATTGAATACTTTTCAATATGGTACGGTCTGTGTACCTGTTTAGTTGTTGAAAGTGCAAGTAAATCATGTTGTAAAGTTTTCATCAAAATTGCAAATATCATCAGCAGAATGATGCACCTGCAGAAGAAACCCCAGCGACTAAACCCATTGTTGGCATTATATATCCACCACCTGAGGTCCGAAATATAGTCGACAAGACAGCCAGCTTTGTTGCCAGGTAATTTACATACACGCGCAGTTGTTAATGTACAAATCACATCTTCAAAGTTCTATTTTAATTATGACTGTTTGTGCCATCTCACAGGAATGGGCCTGAGTTTGAGGCAAGAATCCGTCAGAATGAGATCAACAATCCAAAATTTAATTTCCTCAACCCAAACGATCCCTACCATGCTTACTACCGTCACAAAGTTAATGAATTCAAGGAGGGGAAAGGACAGGAACCATCTGCAGCCGTGCCTAAGGTTATGCAGCAGCAGGCTATGCAGCAGTCCCAGCAGCTTCCACAAAAAGTGAGTGATGCATATCAATTACAACCATCTCTAAACTGTTTTTGTTGGTTTATGCTTGTCTATAATGTATGCTTTTTATCATTAGGTCCAGTCACAGGTGATTCAGGAGACTGTGATCCCTAAAGAACCCCCCCCTGAGTTTGAATTCATTGCAGATCCTCCGTCCATCTCAGCCTTTGATTTGGATGTTGTCAAACTTACTGCCCAGTTTGTGGCTCGTAATGGTCGCCAGTTTCTCACCCAGCTCATGCAGAAGGAACAGAGGAACTACCAGTTTGACTTTTTGAGACCACAGCACAGCCTCTTCAATTACTTTACTAAACTGGTTGAGCAGTATACAAAGGTGATGTTACAAACTGTGCCTTCTATTTTACTGGTGTTCTCTACTTTGATTGTTATTCTTAACTATATCTTTACATTGCCTTTCATCCTTTAGATCCTGATCCCTCCCAAAGGCTTATTGATCAAACTCAAGAAGGAGGCTGAGAACCCGAAAGAGGTTATGGACCAGGTAATTTTGATTTTCTTATTTAATTATGTTGCATGCATCAAATTAAGAACTTAAAAGTTAATTATTTTTATCATTTGGCACAAACCCCAGGTCAGGTACCGTGTTGAGTGGGCCAAGTATCAGGAGCGTGAGAGAAAGAAGGAGGAAGAGGAAAGGGAAAAAGAGCGAGTGGCGTATGCCCAAATTGACTGGCATGACTTTGTAGTGGTGGAGACGGTGGATTTCCAGCCCAATGAACAAGGTAGCAAAACCACAGTAATCTTAAATATAAAAAAAACTCTAGAATTGCATTTAATTATTGGTTTATCTGTTTCCCAAGGCCACTTCCCCCCACCTACGACTCCAGAGGAGCTTGGTGCTCGTATCCTGATCCAGGAACGTTACGAGAAGTATGGAGAAAGTGAGGAGGTTGAGATGGAAGTTGAGAGTGAGGATGAAGATGACGAACGCGGGAATCGGGCTGAGGGTCATTCTTCACAACCTGATCAAGACACCCAAGTGCAAGACATGGATGAGGTAAATATTAATGAGCCAGTCACTAAACTTTTCTATAAGATTTAAAAACATAAGAATTTCTTGTTTTTTATTTACTGTTCAACTCTCTAGTGTGAATTTGGGAGTGGTCTTGGTAACATTATACACTGCTGTTTCTTTAGGGATCTGATGATGATGACGAGGGCATGAAGGCTCCACTGCCACCAGACAACCCCATGCCACCCCCATTGCCCCCAACACCAGACCAGGTCATTATTCGCAAAGACTATGATCCCAAAGGTAACCAAGTGTGTCCATATGAGAGCATTCATGGTGTATGTTACCATAGCGCTACAATGAAAAGCTTCTGCTAACATCATGCTGTTTTCTCCCCACAGCCTCCAAGCCTCCACCATCAATTACCGTTCCAGATGAGTACCTCATCTCGCCAATTACTGGTGAAAAGATTCCTGCCAGTAAGATGCAGGAACACATGCGCATTGGTCTGCTGGACCCACGCTGGCTGGAGCAAAGAGACCGCAGCATCAGAGATAGACAGACGGAGGATGAGGTGTATGCACCCGGTTTGGATATCGAGAGCAGTTTGAAACAACTCGCCGAGAGACGTACTGACATCTTTGGTGTGGAAGAGACGGCCATTGGTAAAAAGATTGGTGAAGAAGAAATCCAGAAACCAGAGGAGAAGGTGAGAACAACTGAAGGATTTTGAGCAAGCGATGGAAACGTATTTGTATCGGTGGTCTGTTTTTATTTATTTGTTTTTGATTTTTGCTCCAAACAGGTTACTTGGGATGGTCACTCTGGAAGCATGGCTCGCACACAGCAGGCAGCACAGGCCAACATCACTCTGCAGGAGCAGATTGAAGCCATCCATAAGGCCAAAGGACTGGTGGGAGAGGACGACACCAAGGAGAAAATTGGTCCAAGCAAGCCAAGCGAAATTCATCATCAGCCTCCCATCCCGTCCTCCTCTGTCAATATGCCTAAACCCAGCCCGCCTGTCACGTCAGTGCCTCGTCCACCTGTTTCTGTGAGTTACACCCCGAGATAAAAAAAAAGACATTTTTGTTGTCCATGTACCTTTTGTAAGTCACTGTTGTGGTTGTCTAATAGGTGGCCCCTCCAGTGCGCACTACGCTTCTGTCTGCTGTGCCCGTCATTCCCCGGCCCCCTGTGGCTCCTGTGGTGCGCCTTGGACCAGGACAGGTACTGACATCAATGCCGCCCATGATTCCTGCCCCCCGCATCAACGTGGTTCCGATGCCGCCATCAGCACCCCACGTCATGGCCCCGAGACCACCTCCCATGGTTGTGCCCACTGGTGAGATGAGGATTTCCAAACCTGTCATCAGATATCCAAATATTTTATTCTAATTAGTTTGTCAAATCTGTGTCATGTGTGATTCTTTTACTTAAAGTTCAAACAACCCGTTTCTGCCCACAGCATTTGTCCCAGCTCCTCCAGTACCGCAACCACCGAGCTCTGCTCCAGCACCACCTGCTCACCCACCTCCCCCTCACGACGATGAGCCAGTCAACAAGAAAATGAAGACAGAGGACAACCTCATTCCAGAGGACGAGTTTCTCCGCAGAAATAAGGTTAGCGGGAGCAGCCACAAGTTGGAAATATGCCTCCCTGAATTTCTAGATAACCATGTTGAGGTGGTGATTATTATTTTCCAGTAGACAGAATTCAGGGCATAGGATTGGAAGCTAACCATTGGAAAAGCTGTTTACCTGCCTCAGAATGCACATGTAATCGGTCAAATACTAAGAAACCAAGCACCAATTATCTCTACATATGTGGAAACAGCCGGTGTTTATTTCTGTTTTTGTATCAGCTGAAAAACAGACAACTTCCTCATTGATAGCAAGTTTAATTATAACAGAAGTGAATCTTCACTTTAAAAAAATTAATTGATAATTCTGTTTTAAATACAAAAGCAGTCCAAATTAAGTTCTGAAATACTTAAAACCATGTTTTATTGAATGATTTATCCTTTGTATTTCCAGGGTCCTGTGGCAGTTAAAGTGCAGGTCCCCAACATGCAGGACAAGAGCGAATGGAAGCTGAATGGCCAAGTTCTGAATTTCACTGTCCCTCTTACAGACCAGGTAAGCAAGGGCTGGTGGTGGTGTGTTCTTTGTTTTGATATGTTTTTTTCAATCATATAATTTGTACCTATCGTATTATTATGAACGTGAAAATGTTATGTCTCAACAGGTGTCTGTTATTAAAGTTAAAATCCATGAAGCCACAGGCATGCCTGCAGGAAAACAGAAGTTACAGTATGAGGTCAGCTATGGTTCTGCCATAATTCAAACTCAAACAAAGTTCAATCATGCAGTCTTAATTATTCAAAATGACTATTAATACTCTTTTTTTTTTATAGGGTATTTTCATAAAGGATTCCAACTCTCTGGCTTATTACAACATGAACAATGGGTCAGTCATTCATTTGGCTCTGAAGGAGAGAGGTGGAAGAAAGAAATGAATGCTGCCCCAAGAAGAAAAAGTTGCTCTTTGGCAGTCAGCCTTGTCATTTTATCGTGATGATAGTTTTTGGAATTGCATTGCATATTTCATACATATATTTGAGGGGCATGCTGTTCTTAGGTGGTTATGGATTTCTCAATTGTAAACCTTTTGATTCAATTCCTGATTTGTTCATTATTATGTAGGAAATTACAGCCATGTAAAATGTAGAGCAACCAAGTTTGTGCATCTTAATAAATCAATAAAAACAAGCAAATGTGTTTATTAATGTATAATAACACTATTAAGGTGGGAGTAGACAACAAGGCAAAGTCCATGCACAAATACACAGTCAACCACTACAGGAACATTTGGTGCTTAGGAGACTAACAATGAGCCTTGTTCGAGGACTGGTAGTTCGGATTTCTTTTATTCCGCTGGACTGCCACTAGGGGTAACCAAAACACTTCCAAACCAAACAAGGACTGTAGACGTGAGCTGGTGCTTGGAACCGAACCGTGTCTGTCCACCCGCACCGAAGATGACAGGACCAAAGCAATGTTAGTCGAGGCTAGAGTGAAGTAGTTTGCTAACCGACAGATATAGCTCGAGTATGACAATCTAAAAAAAAAAAGCCGAGTTGATAATGTAGCATTTTTTGTCTGGAGGGAAGGGACCGTTTAGGGATAGTTGTGGAGCGGGTGAGGACGAACAGCTCAGGCTAACTTAACGTTAGCAACCCAGCATTAGCTAGCTAATGTTAAGTTGAATTCAGTCTAACGGTGTTATCTTAACCTGTTTGATGTGGCCTGAAAATTGGTGTGCGAATATATTTACAGGTGGTATTGTAGTTGGAAAGTTTAGTTTAACTCTACAAACCATGGAGAGACAGTTTGCTTGACTTTGGGCTGTTTACAAGCTTGCTGACGTTAGCTATCCTGGCTAGCCAGCTAGCTCTCCTTCTACCATGGCCAAAATAGAAAACGGCCGTCAATCATTGGACACCAGGAGCATCAGGACTATTAGCAGCAGTCATATTGACGACGAAAGCTCGTTGGGATCCGACTCGGAGATCAACGGCTTCACCAGCGACCGACAAACCGATAAATATGGATTTATTGGTGGGGCACAGCAGTACTCGGAGGCGTCGTAAGTTTGTCTAAGATCTGACAGTGATTCATTCTCAGTTTCTTTAGATTAGTTTTTGTGCAGGCAAAGTCTCTCGGAATACAACAGGAGTATTATTTAATGTCAGTCTAAATAATTGTGTTGCAGTAAACCTAAATGTGATGGCATGTCAAAGTTGGGCTTGTGATGCGGAGCTGACTCCTCTGAGCAGCGGCTCCCAACCAGCTGCGTGGCACAATGCGTTTCATGCTAACTGCTGGCTGTAGCCTTCCAGTATCAAAGGAAGATGCATGCAACACACTCATTTATAACCAGGGACGTGGTTTGAATAAATTCCCCAAAGTACAATTATTTTTGCAATGCAATAGATTGCCTTTTTAGCCAACCAGGCTTTTTGAGGAGGATCTTTAAAGAGCACTTTCGCATGGACGGAGGTCTTGTTTTGAATGAATTCATCCCCATTCAGGAAGATAGGCTGTTTATCCCCTAAGAAGACGTTTTACTCGCATCCTTTTTTACTGAGGGCCTAAAGCCTCCATACACAACTCAGATAATGGAAGGAGCGAGGGAATTGGGTGCCAAGCACCAGCTGGCAAAGAAATCCCGGTTTTCTGGAGTTTGGGGCAGGTTTTTGGAGGGACCTCTCTGGTGCCCCTTTCAGCAGAGGGCCTCTTTTGGCTTGATCTTAAATGCTCTCAAACCCAGCTGGCAATGAAAGCAGCTTACCATTGTTCAAGGTTATGTTTTTTTGTTTTTTTTTAAAGATGCGCATTGGGTTTAACATCTTGTACATAGCGCCACATCTTGCCTACAGTTTAAAGTGAGAGAGGGCTGTCGTGCTCTTTAAGAGAAGGCTGCGCTCTCAAGACATTTTAACCCTGCAATTACAGGCTTGTGCAGATGAGATAATTACATATGTCAGTAAAGTAACATACCTCCCTCGTAATGAAGGTCTGGCTTCCTTACTTCAAGCTTCTGTTGGAAAATATCTTTTTTTCTTTTTATAAATGTTTTGTTTTTTCTTATTTGAAAACTTTCATAGTTACACAACTATACAGACTGACTTTGGGCCTTAAAACACCTTTTGTCTATGACTGTTCCTGTTATTGACTGTTTCTTTCTAGGTTATGTCTATATATTCAAGCCTTTCTCAAAGCAATGTTTTCATCCTGCAATTTTAAGCAGGATTTATGACTCTCTTTTAGAAAACATTGAGTACATTTGGTGTTTAATCTTAATTAACATCTTTTTACACTGTTTTATCAGGGCACAGGATGTGCCCCCAGAGGTGCTCAGGCAAAGGGAGGTGAAGTGGCTGGACATGCTCAGCCACTGGGACAAGTGGATGATCAAGAGATTCGATAAGGTCAGCACCAGGTGTCAATAACAGGGGCCGCTGGGTGGATCGTTTGTTTCGCATAATGCTATTGATGTGTAAATCTCATCTTTGTTATCTGCAGGAAGCACGCTTTTAGTCCTTTCTGGTTCTCCACACATGAGTAAATGATGCAAATAGCGTCGCTTCGAGTGTTCGATTGCACAATGAGAAGAGTGTGTGGACACACTATTTGTGGATCCACTAGTCTAGCGAGTTCTGTGGGAAACGCTCTTGGCGAATAAATGCAGGACTGAAACTTCTCCTCATTTCCATGAGTCAGCAGCAAGCCAGGGCACAGCCCATCCCTTTATCACCCATACACCGAATGACAAACTGACAGTCTCAGATTCTGGGTGGAGCTGTACTGACTTTCCATGAGACAGCAGTGGCCGTTGCCTTCTCGCGTTTGCAGGCTGAGATGATATTCTAAAAGACGGCTTTTAGAATGTCATCTCAGCGTTTCTCATTGTGTGTTACGTGTCTAGCATTAAGGAATCTTCTCCATATCCTGCTGCGTTTGCATAATCACAGCTCCTCTCTATGAATTCATCCAGCTGAAGTCTCTAAAAAGGCTTCCGCCACAAATATTTTGATGCTTTCGAAAACTTAAAAAGCCTCAAAGTTCCTGTTTAAAGTTAACATGTCCGTACATCTGTGTTTTGAACTGGACTGGTGTTTTATTTTAGAAGGGAACCACAAACAAGTGCCGGCCAACCCCCACACCCCACCCCTACTACTTTATTATTGGGATTCATTGCATATACCACATTTCAAACTGCCAGTGTAACGCCTGCTTCCTGTGAGATTGTTTATTTAGCTAACCACGTCTCTCTCTGGCTCAGGTGAGGCTGCGGTGTCAGAAAGGAATTCCTCCCGCCCTGCGAGGCCGCGCATGGCTCTACTTATCAGGAGGGAAGGTGAAGAAGGAGCAGAACCAAGGAAAGTTTCAGGTCACATAGCTTCCTCTTTCACTTCCCTCTCTCAGCTCTGTTGACGATGTGTTTTGGGCTCATTTCATCTTTAAATTTCCTTTGAAATTGTCACTGAAACTGAGATTCTGCACCAGAGTCTCATTCATGTGTGAAATGAAACCTGTTTTGTTTTTGTTTTTTTACATGATTTTGAAGAATGGCTCTTTTTTCTCTTAGTTATGTTACAGTGTTGAATGAACAGATGCTAAAAAGCAGAGAAGAATAAAATCATGGATTGAATTTAGTTTGTTTTTAGGTGAAGAAATCAGCTCTGAGATATCACCATGCAAAAGATTATAACCTTCAGAGTTCTTATTTTTATTTTTACTCTGAGCTCAGGTGTCCTGCCTCTGTTTTGACAGGAGCTGGATAGTCAGCCAGGGGACCCCAAATGGCTCGACGTGATTGAGAAAGACCTCCATCGCCAGTTTCCATTTCATGAGATGTTTGTGTCTCGTGGAGGACATGGGTAATCTGCCTCACCCCTTCATGTTCCTCAAACGATTTGATGTCCTGTTCTACTTGTAATACGTCTGAACTGCTTTTTTTCTGTGTTGCGATGGCGCGCAGGCAGCAGGATCTGTTCCGCGTCCTGAAGGCCTACACCCTGTACAGACCGGAGGAGGGCTACTGCCAGGCGCAGGCTCCCGTCGCCGCTGTGCTGCTGATGCACATGCCCGCTGAGGTGCTGCACCCGTTGTGTGATGCTTAATCTCCTGATGTTAGCTGTTTTCAGGGTGTTGCCTTGGATAAGTTGAACATTTCAGTGGTGCAGAGACACACTGTACATGTATAATATCCAGATAAACCCTGGAACACACGTCACATCGCCTTTTTATTTTATTTCAGTTGTTTGTTTTTCTTGTTTTGTTTTAATCCGGACTCTCTATCTGTATTATTTAACTTTCTGACCTTGGGGTGTTGTCTTGAAAAATTGTGTACCTTTTTCTCAGTGTTTTTCACTTGGGAATTGCATTTCTGGCTGAAAAACAGTTTTGGGCAACAAAACATCACAGAAAGTTAAGATGAGATGTCTTTCCTCCTTGACGTGTCAAAAAAATGGAATAAACCTTCTTAATCATATGACTAGATCAGGTGATATGTTTGAAGCATCAGCCGCAGAGGCTGATGTTGTGTAGCATTTTTCCTTCTTATCTAAGCTGAGGAATAAGGTATCTGTATTTGTAACCTTGTGCTTTTTTAGTGCCCGGAGCACACCGTCCTTGTGTTTTTAGGACAGACAGTGCCCCGCGATAAAAGCTGCCACAGCTGTGTTTACATTTATACTGAGTCCCTGTTCGTCTGGTATCATCTTCCATCTTTTAAAAGTCATTCAGTCATGTTTAGCTCACAAATACTGCCAGTATCGTTATTAGGATCTGACATGTCCAATCAATCTTTTTAATTTGATAGAGGAAATGCTCTTCTTGTCAACTGAAATGATATCGCTGCTTTAGTAAGAAGTGAGAATGTTTGGAATATTTTGAATCTAAGAAATGTCAGACGCCTTTGTTTTACGCTGTTGGTGACGAGATGAAGCTTGACAGAAAAGCAATGATGATTCATGTTTTATACCTCATGTGTAAAAGCGTGTAAAAGCCTTTGAAAAGTCAACATTTTCTAGTGTTATCAGATTTCCGTGCGAGCAGACACATGCCCTCTGAAATGAACATTATGTTTCCTTACATCATCTGTGTGTGTTTCCACAGGATGCTTTCTGGGGCCTGGTCCAAATCTGTGAGAAGTACCTTCCTGGCTACTACAGTCCCTGCCTGGTGAGACTGAAAAGCATTTAAAGACATCATCAGAGAGGATAAAACTTGATTTGGCTTTTTATTTTCAGTAACAACATGTTTGGTTTAGTCTTTTTTGCTGTGGTGAGAATGTGTTCTGGGTGCCACCCATAGCTGGGGTGAATCTCATGAACGTGGGCAGACTGAGGATTACTGCAGTTTCAGCTTGATGAGGCAACTGCAGAGATGTTGTTTGTCTTTACATACCAGCATTCATTAAAGGCTTTAAAGATGTTATAAAGATTGATCTCCTTGGCAAGATTTCATGATTTGAAACGCTTGCCCATAAAATGTCTCAACAAATCATAGAGCTACAAAATGAGATGAGGCAATGCCTTTGGTCGTGTTCATTTTATTGGATGAACCCCAAAGCTTGTGACACTAATGTTTTCTCTGTTAAATGTCTACCTTTTTCCTTGTCTCTCAGGAGGCCATTCAGCTGGATGGAGAGATTCTGTTTGCTCTGCTGCGACGCGTCTGCCCGCTAGCTTACCGGCACCTGGAGAAACACAAGATCGACCCCATTCTCTACATGACTGAATGGTTTATGTGTGCCTTCTCCAGAACTCTGCCCTGGGCGTCCGTGCTGCGTGTCTGGGACATGTTCCTCTGCGACGGTAGCTTCCTTTAGCCCCACCGATGTCGTACACTTAACGAGCATAACCATTTCCTCACCACTAAAATCACTCCTATTGCACCCCCACCCCCCATCTCTTCCTTCAGGAGTCAAGATCATCTTTCGAGTGGGTTTGGTGCTGCTGAAGTGCACGCTGGGGACCCGCGAGAAGCTGAAGGCCTGCCAAGGCTTGTATGAGACCATGGAGCTGCTCAGGGCCATAGATCCTCGCTACATGCAGGAGGGCTTCCTGGTTCGAGAGGTGAGCGGGAAGGAGACGTCGGGTGTGTCACTGAATGCCATGACGGAGCTCTGAGCCTCATGGACAAAGATTTTAAATGCCGCTCATACGGTCCAGACCGTCCTTCACATTTTTATTCACTCTTTTCTAATGGTGTTGCATCTCTCTGCGGTGGTTGTCTGACTGGCCGTGCAGTTGGGGAGAACAATGAGAGTCCCTAAAAGGAGCCAAGAAAATGGCAGAGAGTCTGAAAGTGAATTAGATAGACAGCACACAGACAACTTGAGCAAAGCTCTGGCTTTCCTCTGTCTGCTTCAGTCCCGCTCCTGTGAGAGCCTCTGTGTCCTGGAACAATACCCCCTCTCATGTGTGTGGCCGTCCTGATGTGGGCGACGGTGTGTCCACCGCAGCCTCGGGCCGTTTGGCATTTACTGACAAAGTCCACATTTTTGCTGCCACGGTCAGACATGCAAGGAAGACATTTTCGAGCAAAGGGCAGCAGAGGCTGCCTCAGATTTCCTTTGTAACGTGATCTCTGTGAGCTCAGCGGTGACCCGGTGCCGTGTCTTTTCCTCCTCCAGATTCTGGAAGTGCCGGTGACGGCGCGGGACGTGGAGAGGGAGCACCACAGCCAGCTGAAACGCTGGAGGAAGAACCGCGGGGAGCTGAGTTTCAAGCCCCCTCAGAGGATGCACGGCGCCCGCCTGGTCATGCTGGCCGAGCCCCCCCGGCGCCAGGACCTGCAGCAGAACCCCACCATCGTCCTGGATGTCCCCCAGCCCCCGCCCCCGCTGCTCAAGAAAGGCAAGGAAGAAAGGAAGAGCAAGAAGAAGAAGAGCGTGAAGAAATCCCCGCCCTCCGAGGAGATCCCCAATCCGTACCCTCTGCCCACCGAGCTCGCTCCTCCCCCCCCTCCACCCTCAGACCCACCTGCTCCACCCCCGGGAGGCAGCGTGATGCCAGAGACTGTGCCAGAGACCACGCCGGACGCCACGCCAGTCAACACCCCGGTGAACACCCCAGAGACCACCCCCAAAGCCACCCAGGAGGGCAGCCCAGAAGCCCCCCCGGAGACTGTGCAGCAAAGTGAAAGTGACTCGCCCCACCAGCAGAGAGCACCTCCTCCTGACCTCCCTGCTGCCAAAGAATCCGCCCTGCAGCGGTCCACGCAAAGCCTTAGCAGCACAGAGCAGGACACCTACCTGTAACTCTGTGGAAGCCAGTACCTGCGAGTGTGTGAGTGAGTGCGTGCGTGCGCGTGTGTGTGTGTGTGCGTGTGTGTGTGTGTGTGCGTGTGTGTGTGTGTGTCTGTCTGTCTTAGGGACAAAGCACCAGCACAGCAGTTTTGGTCAACAACCAGCTCGCCTTGCCAAAGTCTTAGACCAGCCTGCTTCACGGTTCTTGTATTGGACTATTTTGTATTCCATTTAGGCGTAGCTAGCCAATGATATTGTTCGCATGCACTAAAGCATCAGTGCTGCGCGTAAAGCTGCCTGCACGCTTTTGCCATTAGTCAGCAGGACGCTCTGGACGCGGACCAAAAGTCTCCATGTTCCGTACGCGGTGGAGTCTCTGGGAGCTAAACGTTGTCCTGGGAGTATTTATAGGTTCATATTAAAAGATGCCAAGGCGTCGCACGTTATGCAGTTCTATGTTTTCTCTTTCAGTTCAACACTATTTAGTGGAGTAGTAATGTTAAGCAGCGGAGGATGCTTGTTTTTCGGGGGGGGGTTGTTTTTTTTGGTTCACTAGGGGGCAGCCCCGCACAGTTTCCTGCTCAGACGTCTGTTACATTCCTCCTCCAGAGTTCACTGAAATCTGGGAGCTGTTGTTGTTTCTAGTTTTTGTTCTAAACGATGCATCATGTTCTCTAACGCTTGAACATGAGCCCATCGCCGTGTATTCTGTTCCGTTTTCACTCAAGGAATTTGGTGAAAGAGCATGTCACTTCTTTTTTTTCTTTGGTTTTGTGCTGAGTAGTTGTGGTCCGACCGGCGAGTAAACTCCACTTCTCACTGTGCCAGGCACATCCAGCCACTTTACAGCAGCAGGGCTTCATATTGCTTTGGACGGCGGAGGGAGGACACTGAACATTCCTCACTGTATGACACATTCCTGCCTTCGCAACACTTAATCAGTTAGAAAAACTCTGGCCAAATGCAAATGTAATTTGTGCATATCTTCCTGTCAAAGCTTGTAGAGCGCAAATCACCCAGTGGTGCTGACCTTCCTCCTATCACTACTCGCGAATAGATAAGGCTTTTAGAAATGTTTTTGTTTTGTTTTTTGCTAGAATTTCCAAAGACTCGAGTCAAGACTGTTGTTTTGTTTTCTTTTCCGACACGACTGACGACCTCTACCTGTGAACGGGCGCTCTGTGTGAATGGTCAGAGGGTTGTGAGATTTGTACGCTGCCTGGGAGACGTGTAGCAGCGCTGCTTCAGAGAAACCGCCTCATTTCTTTGGGAACTACAAATAGACATTCAATGTTTTTGAGGTGGGCCTGTGTTTATTTTCCTCTTTTTGTTGTTTTTTTTGCAGAACATGACAATCTGTTTTCCGTCACTTTTTGTTGTCGCTGTGTTAAAAGGGAGTTTGTGCCAACCGTAGCTGTTTCTGTTGATGACGAGCAGGTAGTTCGGTTATAACGCGTGTACCTGAAGGCAGCAGTCCTTCTTTGCTTTCAGCGCAGTGTTCACCTTTTTGCTCGTGTTCCGTTTTAATTTAAGGCTCTGTCCGTAGATGCGTCATGTTAAACTACAGCTTTTGTTTTCCATTGAACGTTACTTCTCATGTAATGCTGCGTCTTAGCGAGCAGCTAAAGCAACCGCCACAGAACCTTCCCCCAATCGCTTCCAGTCAAGGCCGAAATATTTTTGGGTCAACTTGTGTAACACTAGGAGACGATGTTGATTTATCCTTTGGTCGACCCTTGAATTTTGGGGGTCTACTGTCTTTTTTTTTTCCTCTCTCATGAGAGATTCACACTAGGGTTACACAAGAGAAAAAGGCTGACAGCCCTGGGGCTAAGAGTGTTGTCGTCTCAAATCAAATGTAGTTTCGGTGCAACTCAGAACACTTCTGTTAGATTGCCATCAGCCTGCGGTGTATCATGATGAATCTTTCTCCACCCGTGTGTCTGTAGTTTCTGATGCTCACCAGCAGATGGAGGACTAAACCCATCACTTTGACATTAGTGGTGTTCTCATTGCGAGTGAACGTAACAAAAATGTCTTCATTACTGTACCTTTTTGTTAGAAAATTGCAACACATGCAGCACGATTCAGCAGTTAGAGGAACACTTTCTTTTTAACTGCGTTTTGGAATAACATCTGGCGGCAATGTCACGGCTCTACTTTTGAATAAAGCTCTATAAATATGGTTTAACCTGCGAGTGTTCTGTTCAGTATTATGTCCTTTTTTTAATCTGCTGGCTCTTTTTACAGTCTCATATTAGTATGTTATGTTATGTGATTTACGATTTCTACCGGTAGATAATAAAAAAGCAGGCTGTGTGGTTAATTTACCTCTCAAGTAATGATTGTAAGTTAAATAAATTGATCAGGTAGTGGAATGGGCTCTGTAGGAATCTCACAGGAGTGTCTGAACAGCAGACTTTCTTTAGGATAGTTTTAGATTTCTAATCTGTTTCTAATACTAATGTTATAAAGCAGAACGAGTGGTTATGTATATATACAGTATGTATATATATATATATATATATATATATTTTTTTTTAGAGGTATCTTGTAACTATTACAGCCTGGTTTTTTTACATCACTGGTAGCAGCGGGATTTAGACCCCACAGTGTTAAACTTTCTTTCCAATAACAATGCCATTCTGTACTATGTCAGCGTGAACAGGCCAGCGTGATGCATCATCTTATCAAATGGGAGTTTGTGGTCTGGTGTCAGGCTGTCTGGGCATCCTGGAAAGGAGAGAAAGATTGTGAAGGCAGAGGAGGAGTATCCACAGCATATTTGACCTCACAGCCTTTCTCCTCAGCTGAAACGACTCCTTCCCCCCCTCCAATAAGGTCATTCCTGCCCTCTCTCCTCATTAAGGCTAATAACAGGTTGCTATTCATTTCTCAGTCCTCTGGTTGAGCTGTTAAGTGCCCTTTTTCTCCACCATGAGGTGTTGGATATTTGAGTTTTGTGCCTCGGGCTTGAAAGAGTTCATTGTAAATTGCTGCCTTGATGACCTGAGTAAGCCGGCTAGCTCGTTCCTAAATGTCCGGCAAGGTGTGAGCTGCAGCTGTTGACCTCTGGTCATCAAGGGGTTTAACATGGTGGTGAACAGACAATGGAAGTTGCACGTCATCTGGAAAGTGCTACTATCCTCACAATTGAATGAGCAAATACTGTATGCCTGCAGGTGAAGTTGGCAGACTGATATCTCCAAAGAGTATTGTTAACAATCGTTGATCTACCTTGTCCATTTTGTGGTTCCACAAAGCCTACTGGTGGCCACTGTGGGGTGTGCTGATGTTTCCCTGCACCAGGCACAGCAACAGTTAACGGCGCAGGTCCCTGAGGAATGCATGCACCGTCACGCTTTGCCCCTTTGCATCGGACACCTGGCCCCCTTTCAGTGCCACCGTTCCATTTACATCTCAAAGGAGGATGGACCAAGAATGCTCTCTCTGTGCTCTCTTCCTCACTCCAGAAATGATCTGATTTATCCCTCCATCAACGGAAATATACCCCCTCTGGAGGGTGGCCCTGCCTCTCCTGTCCCCAGCTAACAGAGATGGAGGCGCGAGCAGGAGAAAGAGAGACTTGTGATTCCCCCGTGTGATCACAGACCCAACGGCCGCCCCTCACAGTGCCTGATTCATGTGTTGTGGGCGATTTTCTCCCAGCTCCCAGGTTTAGTGTGTTAGGTCGCAGGGGAGGCGGTGGGGTGGGGGTGGGGGGGGGACAGGGCAAAGCAAAAGCGCCTGTGTTCCTGAGGTATCTGATTCCCACGATTGATGGAGCCTGACAGGTTGACTCAGGTTAGATTAAAAGGCTGCTATAATAAATATGAGGGCAGACGCTGGGATCCTCTGTGCAGGTGAACTTTTCATAGCTGAGGGACTATTAAGTTATTTATTGCGCCAAGGGAAAACATTCATCTTTGTGCAGGAAACACTAAAAGGGGGATATAGCTGTGCTAAGGCCAGAGGAGATAATTGAATCATCCCTGTGTCTGTTTTTCTTGGTTGACCTCTTCTATTCCTTTCCTGATAGTGATAGTGATATTAGTAATATTGTGAATGACTGAGGTTTTGTTTTTTGTTTTTATTATAAAAGAAGTCATTCATACCTACCGTCTATCATTGGCAGAATGTGTTGTCTGCAATTGAGGGTCTGGTCTCTGGTCTTGAAGGATTCCTCTGGATGGAAACATGTGAGCTCCCTTTTCCAGACATGGCTTTGTAAATGTTTTTCCATCCTTTGGCTCCACTGAGCTATTTTGAACCATCTTAAACGGGGGCTACTGTGAAATAATGTTATGAATGCTTGTTAATGTTTTGAGCTTGGAGCAGTGCCTGCAGACCCTGACATACAAGGGCTTGCCTACTTGTGGAAATAGGCTTTCGGCACCTATGCAGTTTTCCATTGTGTAATTTGCTCCCATGTAGGGTTCACAAATGGCTACACACGTGGATAATACTTAGATGGTAAATATAACATAGAAAAACACTCAAAAATCCTCAAGGGTGCATTTAGAGCCTTAAACGTCATCACAGTTCTCATTCCGGCTGCTCCCAGTGGACTGCACTGCTTTAGGGACTGTGTGAAAACGATCTGCACCGGGACGTGGCATGCCTGGGTTTGATTCCAGGTTTAGACCGTCCAGTTGATTCTGAAGACATTGCTCACAGATTAAGCGTAACTGCATATTAGAAAGAAGAAAAGGGTGGCAAAGATAACAAAGGTAAATTAATTACTTATCACTTTATCTGGGAGCAAAAAGATTAAATTTACTTCAAATTTAGAGTACTGAAAATATCTGATATTCATTGTCAGAAAATGTAATATGGCCCTCTTCAGAAAGGCCAGTACCTTTTCTAAAGGCTGCACCATGCCTGCTAATGATTTAAAAACTAATCCCTCAGCAGACATTTGAAGACACAGCCCTTTAACCCAGCCTTCACATCACGCTGAGCAACAAGCCCTCATGATTCAAACATGTGGGCGAGTGATAAAAAGGTGAGTTTGGCACAGCAACTGAATCTGCTGCTGCTGTGTCCACAGGAGAGTCGAGCCTCTAACGGTGGATGGGGCCATAGGGGATTAAAAGCCG